ACAGTGTTACTTCCACCTGCAGTTCATCCCTTTGTTCAGTAAGGAGTATGGAGCCTCTACCTTGGGCCAGGCATTGTGCTGGGCATCAGGACATAGTAGATTAAAAATTAAAAGGGTCAAGTTGGGTGCAGTGGCTCACACCTGTAATCCCAACACTTTGAGAGGCCAAGGCAGGCGGACCACTTGAGGTCAGGAGTTCAAGACCAGCCTGGCCAACATGGTGAAACCCCGTTTGATATTTTATACTAAAAATATAAAAATTAGCTGGTCATAGTGGTACACGCCTGTAATCCCAGCTACTCAGGAGGCTGAGGCAGGAGAATTGCTTGAACTTGGGAGGCAGAAGTTACAGTGAGCCGAGATCTCACTACTGCACTCCAGTCTGGGCAACAGAGCGAGACTCCGTCTCAAAAAAAAAAAAAAAAAAAAAAAAAAAAAAAAAAATTAAAAGGGCCCTTCCTTCACTGAGCTGACATTCCCTGGAGGAGGACATGCACTTAGCAGATATTAACACAATTAAGTATTGGGTGATTAAATGATGCACAGAAAAAGTACTGGAGGCTAGGAGGCTGTAAAGCAAAGGACCTTAAACTACAATGGGGGAGAGAGGGCAGCCTCTTCCCTACAACCCTTGCTGTTTATATTGACTTAGGAAAGATAAGTACGAGTCAGAGGGGCAAAGAGGAAAAAGGAAGAGCCTCCTGGTCATTAGGAGCACTGTGTACCAAGGTCCTTAGGTGAGAAGGGGCATGACATATTCAGAGAATTGGAAGGCCAGTGTGGCATGAGCTCAAGAATGAGTAGGAGAATGACCCAGGACAAGCCTGGAGGGACAGGTGACTTAGATGCTGCAGAACCATCTTGTGGGATTTGCTCTTTAGCCTAAGAGCCACAGGAAGCCACTGAAAGGCTTATACAAGGGAATGATACGATCAGATTGGCAATTTTTAAAGAGTTTACGGCTGCTGCATGGAATATGGTTTGGGAGGTGGCCTAAAGGAGGGGACTGATTGGACACAGGGTATAAGAGGAGTTCTTCAGAGGAGACTCCAGCATATACTATGAATTGGGAGGTGGTACCATGCACTGTGACAGGGAGCACTGGGAGAGGAGCAGCTTTAAGGGAGAAATTGGGAGTTGAGTTTCAGGTATGCATGTGGAATGTAAGGTACCTATGCAACATCCAAATGCAGCCATCAAAGGGCAGTTTCTGTAAGGATCTGGATTTCAGAGGGAAGTTGGGGCCAGAGGCATGTATTTGGGCACCATCAGCTTAGAGATGACCACACCTGGCAGACTGAATGAGGGTACACAGAGAGACAGAGTGCCCTGCCAAACTCCTATAACTCTTCAAACCCTAACTTTGTCATCACCTTTGCAAAGCCATCCCTGCTACTTACATAAGGTAATTTACTACTTCTGTGTTATTTATCTATATTTGTTACATCATATGTTAATTACATGTTTCACCTCAATTCAGTGTGCATCCTTACAAGTGAGGTATATTTTGTGTGCCCAGTTCTTGGCTTAGGTCCTGACTTAGTAGGCTCCTAGTGAACATTACTCACAATGTTACTCACAAATCAAAGTGGTGTGGCCTTTGAACCTCAGAGGCATCCTGCAGTTAGTCCAAGTAGTAAATGGTATGGCATGGTCGAACAACCCCAAATCCTTTCTATTGAAGAGTTTCTAACCCCCTTTTTTTTTTTTTTTTTTTTTTTGAGACAGAGTCTCACTTTGTTGCCCAGGCTGGAGTGCAGTGGCACGATCTCAGCTCACTGCAACCACCACCTCCCAGATTCAGGTGATTCTCCTGCCTCAGCCTCCTGAGTAGCTGTGACTACAGGTGCGCACCACCATGCCTGGCTAATTTTTGTGTTCTTAGTAGAGACGGGGTTTTGCCATGTTGGCCAGGCTGGTCTCAAACTCCTGACCTCAGGTGATCTGCCCTCCTCGGCCTCCCAAAGTGCTGGGATTACAGGCATGAGCCACCATGCCTGGCCAGGTTTTTAACCCTTGGCAGTTCATCCCAGTCATTGGGAAAGTGGTACTTGACACAAATTTGCTTTCTTGTACTATACACATTCTATAAAGAAAATAATACTTGACTTAACAGTTTTTCAGTTTGAGGAAGATGCTGATTCTTCTGCTAATCATGTTACAAAAGGAGATTAGAATATCTCCACTGGATGCTGCGGGCAAATGTGTGTGGTCTGTGAGAAATGTGTTATCAAGAGCTGGTAAACATTGTCTTGGCAGAACCCCACACAGGAGAGAGCCAGGAATGATTAAATGAAAGAACAGCATATGTGACATGATTTGCACAGTTGAATCACATTCCACATGCTCCCCGGGTTCCAGAAGAATCCAACAGCAATTCTCAAATTTACCATCTGCCTCTCTGCTTTCTGTTACTCTTCTGGTGAGGAGTCGGGGAGGGAGGGAGAGATGGTAATTTTTATGAATGTTTGCTTGGAACCCTGAGCGTGTGTTCTCATCATGTAGTTCTGCAGAGAACATGAGCAGAGGCTAGCAATGACCTGGTGGTGAGAGGTTCAGTCCTTAACTACACTTGGGTTTAATACCAGCTCATCACTTAGTAGTCTGTTGTCTATAAAGCAAATTATGAAACATTACTAATTCTCAGTTTCCTTACCTGTAAATGGTGAAGGTGGGTGATGATGTTGTAGTTGGGGGCAGGGGGTGTAAGATCCAATGTGTATTCCATGGGGAAGCTCTAAGGGTGAGACATGGTGACATTTGCTAAGCATTTAGCAGAGCTGGCTGACGTAGTAACTGTTAAATGGCATCCAGTTTTGGCAGTAATGCTAGAATAGTAGCGGTAAATAAGGCATGGTTTTGTTTGGTTTAGAGAGGGGTTATTTCTTTTTTGTTGTTCTTCATATATAATGAAAATTTGAGAAATGTGTTTTAAAATTTTATTTGTAAACTGGATTTCTACCTTTTTTAATCCATGTGAATGAACATTCTAAATGGCACTCAAGCCATGGATTAGGAAGATGCTTTCTGAGAATGATGATTGTAGGCAATGTGAGTGGTTTCTATTCTTGACCTGCCCTGGGTTCTCTGAAATACAGCAACATATGTCTATGTGTACCATTATTAATGGTGGAATTTTTTATTTTAGAAACACTGTTTAAGAGTTCAAATAAGGCCGGGCGCGGTGGCTCACGCCTGTAATCCCAGCACTTTGGGAGGCCGAGGCGGGCGGATCACAAGGTCAGGAGATCAAGACCATCCTGGCTAACACAATGAAACCCCGTCTCTACTAAAAATACAAAAAATTAGCTGGGCGTAGTGGCCGGCGCCTGTTGTCCCAGCTACTCAGGAGGCTGAGACAGGAGAATGGTGTGAATCCAGGAGGCAGAGTTTGCAGTGAGCCGCGATCGCGCCACTGCACTCCAGCCTGGGTGATAGAGCGAGACTCCGTCTCAAAAAAAAAAAAAAAAAAAAAAAAAAAAAAAAAAAAAAAAAAAACAAAGAGTTCAAATGTACTTAAAATTAGGGCAAATAATACCAAAAACTGCATATTCAGTCACCCAAACTAAAAATAATGATCAAGATTTTGCCACTGATTTTCCTGTTTCATAATTTTCTATTTTAAAACAAATTGCAGATATCAGGTCATTTTACTTCTGCCTTTTTTTTTTTTTTTTTTTTTTTTTTTGAGACAGTGTCTTGCTCTGTCACCCAGGCTAGAGTGCAGTGGCACTATCTCAGCTCACTACAACCTCCACCTCCTTGGTTCAAGCAATTCTCCTGCCTCAGCCCCCCGAGTAGCTGGGATTACAGGCATGCACCACCATACCCGGCTAATTTTTGTATTTTTAGTAGAGACAGGGTTTCACCATGTTGGCCAGGCTGGTCTCGAACTCCTGAGATCAAATGATCCACCAACCTTAGCCTCCCAAAGTGTTGGGATTACAGGCGTGAGCCACCGTGCCTGGCCGATTTTACTTCTGTATACTTCAAAATGCCTCTCTAAATTAAACTACAGAACTTTTTTTTTTTTTTTTTTTAACACAGTCACAATCCCATTCTGATCAATTTTGTTTTATTATGATGGAGTTTTAATTATTTATTAAAGTCTGTCTTTCTCTCGTTCCCTCTCCCTTCCTCTTTTCTGCTCTTTCTCTACTGTGTATGTATAGATTTATATATTTATTTTTATTTATAATACCTAACATGTGCCTCTCAGTTTTAAATATACAAAACAAAATGTAAACAGTGGTTTCATAAGTATGCTAATACCAGTAATAATTTGGAGTTAGCATGGTTTTGGGAAAGAGGCATGGCTGGAAAAACAGAGAAAAAAAAATACCCTTGTCTGACCAAGCTTGCCCCTGTTTAGCCCATTCCCATCTGGCGCTGAATGAAAAGATATTTCCTGATGAGCTGGGTAGGGACAGAGAACTTGGTGGGTGAAATAGGTAGAGAAGCCCTAACAACTGCCGCCTTTCCCATGTGAACGGCTTTGTCAACATCTGCTTTCTAATACAAAAAAATATGTTCCCTTCACCCCAGTGCCCTTTCTAGAAAGTTTTAGTAATTAGTAATCTAAAGATATTTAGTATTCTATGCTATAAATTGGAATTTGAAACTTGACCTATTAGAATCTTTTAAAATTCTAGTATGATGTCTTAAGAAACTCCCTGGCTGTATAAATAATCATAATTATTAATTGTACAGTTATCCTTTAAACCAAACCAAAAGTATTTCCAAATTGAGGAGAGTTCAAAAGCTATTTAATATAAAGCAGAACTTTTGGAAAGAAAAAATAAGCATCGTATTTGCTAAAATGCATCATGGGTTCTTTGTTGTCTGTTCTGATGATCTGTTCACTAAACCTCAGAGTTGCTGCTTTTTTGACTAGTATTGTTGGAGGGTGGTGGGATCTGTTGCCATGGGAGAAAGAAAAGAAGAAAAAGGAAAAGAACAAAAGCTGACATCTGGTTGATGAAACCTTTTGCCCCCAACAGTTCTGCCACAGAAAGGGATGAATGGCTAGAAGCGATTTCCAGGGCAATAGAAGAGTATGCCAAGAAAAGGATCACCTTCTGTCCTAGTAGGAGTCTTGATGAGGTATTGTCTTCTTTTTTTTTTTTTTTTTTTTTTTTTTCCCCCAGTGCATTTCAAGGTTTTTACCTTAAACATTTCACAGGGGTTTAGGAAAGCAACATGTGTTTCAGAGAATGATTGGACTGGATATCAGAGAGTTACTCTACAGATTAATGTCTAATTTCAGCACTGAAAGTTTATCCTCCTATTAATGTCTCACTGCAAGTCTGTGATAGCATCTAGCATATTCATGTATTTTCTCAGCTATAAAACTTCATTGTAGGAAATTTAGAAAATACGAAATAGTTTAAGGTTCAGCTAATCAGCTGCCATCCCATTACCACAAGCATCTTTTTAAGTTCATCTTGTATTAGAAGATTTTTAGATTGTAGCTAAACTTAGTATTCTGAGCACATGAAAAATATAATAACCCATATTTCTTTTCTTTTCTTTTTTTTTTTTTTTTTTTTGAGACGGAATTTCGCTCTTGTTGCCCAGGCTGGAGTGCAATGGTGCGATAGCTCACCTCAACCTCTGCCTCCTGGGTTCAAGTGTTCTCCTACCTCAGTCTCCCGAGAGCAGCTGGGATTACAGGCATGTGCCACCACGCCAGGCTAATTTTATATTTTTAGTAGAGATGGGGTTTCACCAAGTTGGCCAGGCTGGTCTCAAACTCCTGACCTCAGGTTTTCCACCTGCCTCAGCCTCCCAAAGTGTGCACAGAGTTACAGGCGTGAGCCACTGTGCCTAGCCAATAGCCCACATATTTCCTTCTTCCTTCCTTCCTTCCTTCCTTCTTCATCTTCTTCCTTCCTTCCTCCCTCCCTCCCTCCTCCTCCTTCCTCCCTCCCTCCTTCCTCTCTCTTACTCTCTCTCTTACTCTTTCTCTCTTTCTTTCTCTCTTTCTCTCTCTCTCTCTTTCTTTCTTTCTCTTTCTTTCTTTCTTTCTTTCTTTCTTTCTTTCTTTCTTTCTTTCTTTCTTTCTTTCTTTCCTCTCTCTCTTTCTTTCTTTCTCTCTCTCTCTTCCTCTCTCTCTCTCTCTTTCTTTCTTTTCTTTCTCTTTCTTTCTTTGGACTCTTGCTGTCGCCAGGCTGGGGAGCCACAGTGGCACAATCTCGGCCACTGTAACCTCTGCCTTCCAGATTCAAGCGATTTTCCTGCCTCAGCCTCCCAAGTAGCTGGGACTACAGGCACGTGCCACCACGCCCGGCTAATTTTTGTATTTTTAGTAGAGACGGGGTCTCTCTCTCTCTTTCTTTCTTTCTCTCTCTCTCTTCCTCTCTCTCTCTCTCTTTCTTTCTTTTCTTTCTCTTTCTTTCTTTGGACTCTTGCTGTCGCCAGGCTGGAGTACAGTGGCACAATCTCGGCTTACTGTAACCTCTGCCTTCCAGATTCAAGCGATTTTCCTGCCTCAGCCTCCCAAGTAGCTGGGACTACAGGCACGTGCCACCACGCCCAGCTAATTTTTGTATTTTTAGTAGAGACGGGGTTTCACCATGTTGGCCAGGATGGTCTTGATCTCTTGACCTTGTGATCTGACCGCCTTGGCCTCTCAAAGTGCTGGGATTACAGGCGTGAGCCACCTCTCTCAGCCAATAGCCCATATTTTATCCCCATCTTTCTTTTCTTGAGACAGAGTCCCACTCTGTCGCCCAGGCTAGAGTGCAGTGGCACAATCTCGGCTCATTGCAACCTCCGCCTCTCAGGTTCAAGTAATTCTCCTGCCTCAGCCTCCTGAGTAGCTGGGATCACAGGCACCGGCCCCCATACCCAGCTAATTTTTGTATTTTTAGTAGAGACAGGGTTTCACCATGTTTGCCAGGCTGGTCAGGAGCTCCATACCTCATGTGATGCGCCGGACTCGGCCTCCCAAAATGCTGGGATTACAGGTGTGAGCCACCGCGCCTGGCCCTCATCCCCGTCTTAGTGGTAGTGTGAGATGACACTGCCGAATAAAAGGCAGGCAGTGTGCATGGAGATGATCAGAAGCTGTTCTTCTTCCGCAGGCAGACTCAGAAAATAAAGAGGAAGTTAGTCCTCTTGGGTCGAAGGCTCCCATCTGGATTCCAGATACCAGAGCCACAATGTGTATGATCTGCACAAGTGAATTTACTCTCACCTGGAGACGACACCACTGCCGGGCCTGTGGAAAGGTTGGCGAGGATAACACCCATCTCCATTGTGGTCTTCACTGTCTCCAGGCTGTACATAGTGAGGAAGCATATTTCCCCTCGTAAACCATTATAGTTCAAGAATAACAATAACAATTATTATGTTAATGGTAGAAAACATGAATGGTGTTTTCTCTAAATATTTAGGGGCAAGGGGAATCTTCTTAGTGAACTTCCACCCTCCTACTTTAGAGTTACATTAGAACATCAGTAATAAATAACTTTGATTCAAAAACGAAATCTAACAAATCCACAATTAAATCGGCCCTCACATTTACAGCTATTATTTAAACTGCATCTCTCTAGTACTAAGTATCTATAGTATTCAGTAGGGGGAATGTTCAGTGTTGAAGTTATCCCTAGTGATGTTTCTAAGCCTTCATGATCTCATTAGTAAAATGGGTGTAGAAACAGTGACATCAGAGAGTTACTCTAAAGATTAAATGAGGTTCTATTTAAAGAGCATTTAGTACGGAGCCCAAAAACTTGGTAGAGGAGCAGAGACGTGGTCGTTGCTGCAGCAGTGATGATTATGATGGTGACAATGATGGTGATCAGTATACCTCACAGGCTTTTTTGCATGCCAGGTACTGTTCTAAGCATTTTGCATGTATTAATTCCTTGACTTTATTATTTTATGTAGTCAGCTCTCTGTAAGTAATCATCTGTTGCCCCTTCATCTTTCAAGGGTGGTACCATGCATTAGTTCACTATATGCTTGAACTCCTTAGAGTTGTTATTGAGACAAAGTGAGACTCAGTGACTCTGCAACTGTTTTGAAAAATGGATGGCACTGTAAATTGTAACATACTTTATGGTTTGGAAACACAAGTTATTCTAATGAAATTAATGGAGTAATTCCAATGTGTTTTCAGATTGTATGCCAAGCTTGTTCATCCAATAAGTATGGTTTAGATTACCTGAAAAATCAACCAGCAAGAGTATGTGAACATTGTTTCCAAGAACTGCAGAAATTAGGTAATATATAAGTAAAGATTTAACCAAAAAGTCCTTTATTCCTCAGATGTTTTCAAACAACCTTCTGACAGAAACACCTTCGGTACATTAGCAATATGATTGTTGATATTTATCTCCAAATTTATAGTAAGCTTTCTTAATCATATTTTGTTGTAATTCTGGGAGAGGTTGGGCTGAAATTTGGTTTTAGTCTGTATAAAAGGTTTTGCTAAGAAAACTGTAGAAATGTAATTACAGGGTAAAACACTTGAAACAGTAAAAGGGAACTTTAACTTTCAAGTAATTTTGAAGTCTCTATAGTTTCACATGATAGCGTGCTCATTACAAATCATTTTACCTATATGTAAAGTAATTCTCTGTGGAAGTGTATTAGGTGGCACTTCGTTAGCTTAATTCTAGTCAGTTGAACTGATTCAGTGAGATCTTAATGTACATCTGAATGTGCAGCTTTTTGACCAAACACGAAATGATACTGCCTATTTCCCTGCTCCTTATTTGTAGGTGTCCTCCAGTAAAATGAATGCAGCTTAGCAGGACTGCTCAGGTCTATGTTTTGGGAAAAGATTTTTAGTTAAATTCCTGAAACCTGTAGGATCTAAATTTTATTTATTTATTTACTTATTTATTTTGAGATGGGGTCTTCCACTGTTGCCCAGGCTGGAGTATAGTGATGCAATCTGCAACCTCCACCTCTCAGGTTCAAGCGATTCTCCTACCTCAGCCTCCTGAGTAGCTGGGATTACAGGCACACATGACCATGCCTGGCTAATTTTTGTATTTTAGTAGAGATGGGGGTCTTACCATGTTGACCAAGCTGGTCTCGAACTTGTGACGTCAAATGATCCACCTGCCTCAGCCTCCCCAAGTGCTGGGATTACAGGCATAAGCCACCACGCTTGGCCAGGATCTAAATTTTTAAAAGTCTGTTCTTCATTTCCCTGAAGGATAGCTTTTTATTAGCAAGGAGGAATTTCTAAGTGGATGACATGATATTTCAGAGTGCACATATTTCTAGATTAATAATTTATTGTCTGTATACATTTTCCAAGAAGACCCATCCATCTCTTCCTTTATGTTCCTCCCGTTAGTCTGGGTATATGGTATAAACTGCAGACATTCAAAATTCGTCTTTGAATTCTCCTTCCTCATCACCTATACACATTTGGTTAGTAACTCTTGTCAATTTTATCGTCAAAAATCTTTGTCTTGATTTCTCCATCCCAGCCCTAATAAGGCCTTTGTTATCTCTTATCTAGACAACTACAATAATTTCCTAACAAGTTTTCCTGCTGTTAGTCTTTTCTCCTTAGTACTGCCAGATATAATCAATTTTTCCAAATTTAATCTGCTCATGTCACTCCCCAGTCTAAAACATATAAACAACAGTCCAGTTTCCTTCAAACCAGCCCCCTTTTTTAATCTGGTCTCATTATTCTCCAAATAGATGATTTAATTTCATACCTCTCTGCCTTTGCTCACACTGACCTCTTGGTGTGCAGTGTTCCTCCTGTTTGTTTTAACCTGGCAAATTCCTACTTATTCCTTCATGGCCAACTTTTATTTTATTTTATTTGTTTGTTTGTTTGTTTGTTTTGAGATGGAGCCTCGCTCTGTCGCCCAGGCTGGAGTGCAGTGGCGCGATCTCGGCTCACTGCAAGCTCCGCCTCCTGGGTTCCCTCCATTCTCCTGCCTCAGCCTCCTGATTAGCTGGGACTACAGGTGCTCACCACCACGCCCAGCTAAATTTTTTGTATTTTTAGTAGAGACGGGGTTTCACTGTGTTAGACAGATGGTCTCGATCTCCTGACCTCTTGATCCGCCCACCTTGGCCTCCCAAAGTGCTGGGATTACAGGCGTGAGCCACCATTCCCGGCTAGCCAACTTTTATCTTATCATCTTCTCAGGTTTCCCTGAACCTCTACAATCAGAATTCATTACTTCTTCATCCATATCCAATAGCCCCTTTTTAACTACTTTGTTCATTGGAGTTGGTCTAGTATCTAAACACTTAACAATACCAGGGTTCTTTGGGGTTTATGTCAGTAGGGAAGGTTTTTTGGATTTTTTTTTTTAAGTTGGTAGTATAGTCACGTTTCATAATTCTAAAGGCATGCAAGAGTAATCCTTTCACATGGTTTAAAGTTCAAAAAGTATAAAACCATAGAGAGTAGAAAGTCTGCCTTCCACTCAGCTCCCAGCCATCCATTGTCCTTTTCCAGGAGCTATCAATGTTGTTTCTTAGTGTCCTTCCATGGATATTTTATGCAACAGTATTATGGATTTGAATGAAATTGAACTGCAAAATGCTGAGCATTGCCTACATAAGTGTGCCTGGTTTGTTCTAGATCACCAGCACTCCCCTAGGATTGGATCTCCTGGAAATCACAAATCTCCTTCAAGTGCCTTATCATCAGTCTTACATAGCATTCCATCAGGGAGGAAACAGAAAAAAATCCCAGCTGCTCTCAAAGAAGTAAGTGTTTCCATTAAACTTGCAATGTGATAGAGGCTGAATTATTCATATGCATATAATACACTGTTTTTCTTTCATAAAGGAAGATGTCATTTCCCACAACTATTAAGTCTTGAATTTTAATACTGATGATGGATGTGGCTGATGCCTCACAGTCTTGCTTGGTCTCCCGTCTGACCTAAGTCATTTAGAAAATGGCTGTTGAAAGGTTTAGAGAACATTTAATAGCAGTGATAGAAGGTAAAGATAAGTTGGACACACAGGAATTTTTAAAAATGACTTTGAGCAGGACCCTTGCCAGAGGGAAGAAATCCAACAGAATATTTTGGGCATTTTGTTAGCCTTTACTGATCTGCACGGTTTATTTGTAGGCGTTGGTTGGTTATGCACAGCTGATATCACTGATAGTAGGTTGTCTTTCCTTTAAACTTCCTTTAAAAGAAAATTTTAAATAGTGATAATAGTCTGTATGCTTAGACCTGCTAATGGTGTAATCCACAGACATCGTTGATACCCTATCCCGGTTCCTCAAATTTAAGTGTCAAAGAACAAACAGCATTGCCATTTTGGCTACTCCATTATGATCAGTTTATTAAGGAGGTCCACCTGGCTGGTTTTGTGGCCAGCAGAGTAGTTTTTAATTTGGTTCTCTTGCTTTTTTACTGAGGAGGTGTTCTAGCATACGTAGTGGCAGGAAAGAACTCTAAAAATTTGATCAAGATCGTGTTTCTTCTGTAAAGTTACGAGTATATTCCCAGTTGAAACACAATGTTTAGAGGTTCATGGAAATTATAGCACGTATCCATACTTTGTTTCTTGTTATGTCTGAATAATATTTCATTGTTTGTGTATACTACAGTTTATCCATCCAGCTCTTGTGGAATATTGGGTTGTTTCCACCCTTTGGCTATTATGAATTATGCTGATAGAAATGTTCATGTGCAAATTTCTGTGTGGACATATGTTTTCATTTATCTTGGGTATATACCCAGAAGTAGAATTGCTTGCTCATATGGTTATTCTATGTTTAACTTTTTGAGGAACAGGGAAGTTGTGTTCTTATTCTAGTAATGTTTAAAATATTTTTAGAAACTCCTCTTTTTAGAATTACATTTAGAGCCTCAGTACTCTCAGTAATGGCAGACTACATCTTTTGAGTTGGATTTTTTTTTTTTTTTTTCGTAATTTCAATTGTTTTTGGGGTACCTATGGGTTTTGGTTACACAGATGAGTTGTATAATGGTGAAGTCTAAGATTTTAATGCACCCTTCACCTGAGCCTTATACAGTGTACCCAATATGTAGTTTTATAGTCCCTGATCCCCAACCCTCATTTACTTTGTAAATAATCAAATCATTGGAAGAAATGTTTTATGTATCAGTTAGGTGATTAAGTTGGTGAACACCAGTTTTATTTTTAAAAATATAGGTCTAGTATGGCTGTTCAGTATTATGGTTGATCTTCTTGTGTGGCTAATAAACTGATCCTAAATTGGTATAAAGGAGAAATGTAATATATTTTGAGCAACTTAATAACAACTTAGATAAGAACATGGTAGGATTCTAATGTAACTATATTTTAAGCAAAATCTCATTTGAATGTTAAACATTTTAGTTGGGTTTTTTCCTCTTTCTTTTCACTGAGATAGGAAACAATTCTAGTTTTTTAAATTACTTGGTAGTCTTTACAAAGATGTATTTATAGAAACCTGCTGTTGCTTAACAAATATTTCTAACTTAATGTTAGATCTTAAATTTTCCACTAAACAATATATAATTATTTTCATGAAATTTATAAGAAATTAATATAATTCATCAATTAATATGTGATTAAAGATATACTTTTAAAATTCACAGGGCCTGCCTGTATTAGTTTTCCATTTCTGCATAATAAATTACTACAAACCTAGCAGCTTAAAACAACATACATTTATTATCTCAGGAGTCCAGGCATGGCTTAGTTGGGCCTCTGCAGGGCTATAATCAAAAGTTTTGGCAAGTACTGAATTCTCATCTGGAGGCTCATCTGGCGAAGGGTCTGTTTCTAAACTCATTCAGGTTGTTGACAGAATTCATTTCCTTGCACTTGCAAGACTGGGGGCCCTGGCTTCTTACTAGCTTTTGGCTGGAGGTCATCAGCTCCTTGCCATGTGGGCCTCTCAACATTGCTACTTAGTTGTTCAAAGCCAGCAAGGAAGAAAATTTCTAGAGTGTTTCCTAACAAGACAGGGCCATATATAATGTAGCATGATCATGGGAGTGACATCCTATCACCCTCACCAAATTCTTAGTTAGAAGCAAGTCATAGGTCCTGTCCACACTCAAAAGGAGAAGAATGTACAATAATGTGACTCTCTACGGCAAGCGTGATGGAAAGCCACCTTAAGCGTGTGCCTGCCATACCATTACTAAGGTAGATCCTAATCTTTTTTTTTATATCTCTACTCCTCCTACATTTTTAAAAACACAACTTTGAATGACCATTATTAGAATCAATAGGCCAGGCACAATGGCTCACATCTGTAATCCCAGCACTTTAGGAGGCCAAGGCAGGCAAATGAACACCAACCTGGCCAACATGGTGAAACCCTCTCTCTACTAAAAACACAAAAATTAGCTGGACATGATGGAACATGCCTGTAATCCCAGCTACTCCGGAGGCTGGGGCATGAGAAGCACTTGGACCCAGGAAGTGGAGGTTGCAGTGAGCCGAGATTGTGCCACTGCACTCCAGCCTGGGTGACAGAGTAAGACTCTGTCAATAAATAAATAAATAAACAAATAAATAAATAAATAAATAAATAAATGCTTGCTGTCTTTTTGCATAGAGATGAAAACATTTTCAACTTTTTATGAAGTAAAAATTAGCCTGTTTTCTTTCTGACTATAATTTGGGAAGCAAAGATTGATTCTTAAAATGAGCTTCCTTAATATAATTTTCTGTTTATTATTCTGTTCGTATGGTTTTTTAGAAGTCCAAAATGTTTTTTAGGAACAGAATTAAAAGTTCAAATAATTTTCCCTGATGCCTCAAAATAACAGCAATAAGTCTTCTGGAACTATTTTTCTTCACCTGCCAACGCAGAAAACACAGATGAACCCACAAAGAAACATACGCAAACGCGTGCAGGCACAGTTAAACCAAGTAAAATTCTGTAACTGCCTCTAACATGGTTTTTTTTTTTTTCTTTTTTATGCTCATGTTAATAGCAGAGTTCAATTTGTATAGTAGCACTTTGAAAATATATTTCATTCTGAAACATTCTATCATTACAGTTATTGTTTTCAGCACCTATTGGTTACAAATAATTTGCTGTTATAATTTGTCTGAAAACCATTAAACTTTGCATGGGATTTCTTATCTAGGTATCAGCAAACACAGAGGATTCTTCTATGAGTGGCTACTTGTACAGATCAAAGGGCAATAAAAAACCCTGGAAACACTTTTGGTTTGTCATAAAAAATAAAGTACTATATACATATGCTGCAAGTGAGGTAAGATCTGAAATCTAAAGATGAGTAATTTGGGGTTTTCTAATGCCAAGTGGAAGTAATTACAGTATTTTAAAATCCGTTTGTTTTACATATGATTTTTTGCTTTGCTTTTGGATGGGGGAATTGTTGTTGCTGTTAATTTTTAATGTGAACAGTGTTCTTGCTTTGTACCTGGAGAGCTCTTTCTCAAATGTGTTAGGAATTTTCTATATTATTAAAATGCATTTTTTTGTGTGTCGTGTAACTACTAATTACTTTACTAAAGGCAGAGCTGCAGCCAGGTGCATTGGCTCACACCTGTAATTCCAGCACTTTGGGAAGCCGGGGGTCGGGGGGGTGGATCACCTGAGGTCAGGAGTTCGAGACTAGCCTGGCCAACATGGCGAAACCCTGTCTCTACTAAAAATACAAAATATTTGTGGAGTGCCTGTAATCCCAGCTACTTGGGAGGGTGATGCAGGAGAACTGCTTGAACCCAAGAGGCAGAGATTGCAGTGAGCCAGGATCGCGCCATTGCGCTCCAGCCTGGGCAACAGAGACTCTGTCTCAAAAAAAAAAAAAAAAAAAAAAGGCAGAGCTGTGTTTCTTTCTGCCAAGCTCTCTTGGGTGATACTCCCTTTACTGTCATCCTCAGATTGCATTGATCTGACAGCAGCGTAGATAAGATAGACTTTTCTGGATGATAAACAATTTCTAGCAGTTTACTCTAATTCTGTCCTTTTCTCCTATCTGATCATCCTGTGTTCCACCATCCTATGAAAACACTGCTCTAGGGTCCACACTTTTCCTTAGTGGGATCCAGGTAAATAGCTTACTTTCTGCATCCATAAAATGAATGTAATATAATCACGTGCCTTCCTTGGTTTAGTGAGGATATTGTGAAATTCAGTAGATGTGAACATGCCAAAAATTCTGTGCCACAGTGCCTGGCATGTAGGGTACTTAGGGAGGGAGTGGCTCAGTGCATATTGTTGAGTAAATGAAAAATGAATAAGTTGTTAGAATTATTACCTTATATGTGAATAACTGAAATTAAATTAGAGCTATGTAGATCAAGAGTTTTCAAATCTGAATTTTGTCTCAGTCTAAAAACTTTTCTCCATTTGTGTGTTTTTAAATTAGGACGTGGCCGCTTTGGAGAGTCAGCCTTTATTAGGATTCACTGTTATTCAAGTTAAAGATGAGAATTCAGAGTCTAAAGTATTTCAGTTACGGCACAAAAACATGTTATTTTATTTATTCAAAGCAGAGGATGCTCATTCAGCCCAGAAGTAAGTAATCTGGCCATATTTTTCTTTTATTCATGAGATTTCAGTTTTTTAATGGTTGCTTATAAAATGACCTACTTTAAGGCATGGAGACAACTCAAAATTTAAATCAGAGATTCTAATTAGAAAGATTTAACATATTATTCAAACTCTTCAGAATTGTTTTAAAGACAAGGCAAGGGTATCTGGAATATTTTCAGGAGGCAGAGGGGAAAAGAAAATAGGTAGTCCTATATAAAGTATTTTGTCTACACATGACTTCAGAGGAAGCAGCGTGATGCTGCTCTGCTGAAAGGAAGGAAAGCCAAGGCATTTGACCTCTCCTTCTATGAGGGTAAGAATCTTCCCTTGAAACATTCCAGGACTTTGGCAATCCAGCGATTCAATTGTGCCATGGAACAGCAGGAGTTTAAACAGCTGCTCGCTAACTTCTTTGGGGAAAAGGTCAAACACATTAAGAGACTCCCATGCTGTTCCTAGTGACTGAGTAAAAGGAAATAGCTATCAGTTTAGATGGCAAAGGCTGAAACAGTCTCTTCAGAATTCCAGCAAGAATCTTTACTTAGATGTTATTAGTTTGCTTAACATAGACATGCATATCTATCTCTGTGAAATTAGGTCTCTTTCGAACAAAATAGTTCAGTTTATCTCTCTTTCATTTGACTCTTTACTTTGGCTTCACAAAATAATACATTTTTGTTTTCAGGAAGAGGTGTTTTCCACAAGCTTAAAAGTGCATGAAAATAAAAAAGAATGCTTTGAGTAAGCAAGGCTTTTAGTTTCTTAAGGCAGTTAAGATTAATGTACCAGAATTGCACACATCCTGAGTACCAGCCAGGCACAATGTTACACACACTCTGTAAGACTCATTTCAGTCTATTTTAAGATATCCAACAGTACATAGCTATTCTTCCAAACATTTTCTTTTGGCTACTGGAGAATATTTTAAAATTATGTCACTTAACTATCTTTTCTATAAAAATTATTTAGACAAAATAGTAATTGCCATAAGATTCTGTCAGATATTAGCTTTCTTATAATTTTCATCTGTATTCATCAAACTGAAAAAAATTACCACTTTTCAATATATGTCATCTTTTGCTTATGTCATTGAGTTGACAAGATAGAAATGCCACCAAGACAAAATTACATGTAGTTGGGTAAAGGAAATCAGATTACTTGTAATTTAGATCGACCCAGGCTAAATTATAAGTTTCTCTTGATTAATATCAGATGGATTGCTTTCTGAAATACATGACAGACTATTAAAATGTATTAATTTTAGTGGAAAATTTGGGGAGTTTTTTAAGGTCTTGCTATGGCAGTATAAAATATGCTGTTGTTCAATATTAAATTTTTGAAAATTCCTTAAAATTTGAACTGAATCTCTTATAGGTTGCTTTTACTAATTAAACTGAGTGATTTCAAGTGTTCATAGTTCTCTGGACTCTTCTGTACTTTTTTTTTTTTTAAAAAATAGAGACAGAGTCTCGCAGTGTTGCCCAACCTGGTCTCAAACTCTTGGGCTCAAGCAGTCCACCCATCTCAGCCTCTCAAAGTGCTGGGATTACAGGTGTTAGCCACCATGCCCAGCCTACATAAAATAATAACGTACGAAATGAGATTTCCATAAGAAAGAAAAAAAAGTTCAGAAGCAATTACATTAGTAGTGAGGAAAAAGACTACTCCCAAGTATCTTCTGAATAATTGCAGCTATGTATATTATCAGGTTAGACTTTGAGACTAAAGAATTTTGGAAAGACATCTGTGAAACTTTGAGAAGCTGTTTTTTTTTTTAATTTTTTTATCTTTATTTTTATTTTATTTTTGAGACAGAGTCTTGCTCTGTTCCCCAGGCTGAAGTTCAGTGGCGCAATCTCAGCTCACTGCCACTTCTGCCTCCTGGGTTCAAGCAATTCTCCTGCCTCAGCCTCCCAAGTAGCTGGGATAATAAGTGTGCACCACCACGCCCAGCTAATTTTTGTATTTTAGTAGAGACGGTTTCACCATATTGGCCAGGCTGGTCTTGAACTCCTGACCTCAGGTGATCTGCCCACCTCAGCCTCCTAAAGTACTGGGATTACAGGCATGAGTCACGGTGCCTGGCCTAGAAGCTCTTATTTAACATGCAAACTTTTGATCAACACTAGATGCCAGATTCCTTTTAACTGTAAATATTGAAACAGATCTGGACTGGGGGATATACAAGGAAACTCTGGTTGCTAGAGTTAAGGTAGGAGGAGACAGGGAGCTAGTGTTCCTAAAAGCACTGAGTCCGAATTCCAGATAAAAAAGAAGCTGTAATAAAGCCTTCACTGACATATCAACTTCCAAAATAAATTAATTGGTAGCATCAAGACTTCATAGAACTTTTACACATGAAATGGTCCCTTCCTCATGCCTATCAGAAATGAGAAGCACACTTTCCAGGCTAAATTTTGGACCAAATTGCCAAATAAATAGTAGTTCTACGTATGCAGAAGGTCACTTTGCTACAAGAAAAGATGTTACTGGCGAGGCACGGTGGCTTATACCTGTAATCCGAGCACTCTGGGAGGCCGAGGTGGGCGAGTCACCTGAGGTCGGGAGTTCGAGACCAGCCTGACCAACATGGAAAAACCCCATCTCTACTAAAAATACAAAATTAGCTGGGCGTGGTGGCACATGCCTCTAATTCCAGCTACTCGGGAGGCTGAGGCAGAAGAATCGCTTGAACCCAGGAAGCGGAGGTTGCAGTGAGCCTAGATATAGATAGTGCTATTGCACTCCAGCCTGAGCAAAGAGAGCCAGACTGTCTCAAAAAATAAAAAGATCTTACCTACGTTGTTATGATAATGAGGTCCACAGGCCCAGCTGTCATCTATATGGTGTTCACATGTCAGATGATTAGGTTTTATAAATCTAACAGATTTCTCTTCTCAATAGGTGGATAGAAGCATTTCAGGAAGGCACAATATTGTAGCAGTATTGGTTTCATCTCTTCTGTGATTCCAAAGAGGTGGAATTTCATCAGAATGGAGTAAATGCAATTCGAAAATTGTATAAAAATGAACACTGCCAAGATAAAGCCAACCAGACCCTTCATCAAAGAAATTGTTTTGTTAGGTATAAGCAATTTTTAAAAGGTGTTTGTTTTTTCATTTATGTTATTTATTAAAATTTTGATGTTTACTTAATGGTGAGAATTATTTCTGAGACACACTGAATTCTAAAGTACCATTTCTTTAGAAACCAGAAAAACTATCTTAATACTGTATACTATATTAACTATTTGTGACATAGTCCACACGGTTTTCTTACCTTACGTTGTAACATTCTTACTGGTGAAAAGTCTTTGTAAGGAAAAAACACATAGCAAGGAGCAAATTTCCACAAAGTGCTTGGTTTGGGAATTGTGATTATTATAAAACTGCTGATGAAAAAATGCATGTCTTTGAATCAATACACTTGGGTGAATTTTTGTATCTTTTAGTGGAAAAACATGGCCAGCTTCTACCTCAGTAACTGAACTGAAATTTCAGTAAATTATCGAAAGTATTTCTATTGTTAGGTGCCTCTTTGGCAAGAGTTAATATTACATCATCAAAGAATTATAGCAAAGGGATAGAATCGGAATTGTTTAAAACTGTGAGTAGGAGTGAAAATATTTTTATTTGCAGAATACCACAAATAACCAACTCTTGGGGCTTTTAAGTCTAATCTTTTAAAAAATCTACCACTTCAAAACAAACATAAATGTATCATTTTTTAAAACAGCAAAATATAGCAAGCATTATGTTACACAATATTCCCTATTATAAGAGTTCTGAGCCCAAGTCAATGATGATATTTGTCTCTAAAAGTAATGTTACATTTCCAAAAATATTTTGCATTACAAATGGAACTGGAATTACTGTATCAGAAAAAGCACAATTATAAGCCAGTAATAACTGAAATTGTATAGTATTCATTTTCAAAAAGGTCTTTTTCTGCCACTTTGATATCCTCCCTCCTAATTAAAAAAAAAAAAAAAAAAATTCCTTTCTCCCTTTAAGCAGCTATCAGCACACCTCCTTAGGAAAGATTTAGATTCATAATTCTGGTGCACTTACTGTTTAACATATGCACTACCTTGTACATAAAATTGTTGATTAGCAGAACAAAATGAAATAACACAGTGATAAAAGCCATCCCTGATGTTGACAATATACAATTTATTAACGAAGTTTAAACTATAAATTATCTTAACGGTCATGAGCGGTGGCTCACACCTGTAACCTCAGCATTTTGGGAGGCCAAGGCTGCTGGATCACCTGAGGTCAGGAGATCGAGATCAGCCTGGCCAATATGGTGAAACCCCATCTCTACTAAAAATACAAAAATTAGCCGGTCGTGGTGGTGCATGGCTGTAGTCCCAGCTATTCAGCAGGCTGAGGCAGGAGAGTCGCTTGAACCCAGGATGCGGAGGTTTCAGTGAGCCGAGATGGTGCCACTGCCCTCCAGCCTGGATGACAGAGCGAGACTCCATCTCAAAAAAAAAAAAAAAAAAAAAAAAAAAATTAAACAGCAAGGTTATCCATAGAATATTTATTTAAAGCGTGTAAGAATTTTCCTTTCTACTTCTAAATAAAGGATATCCTAATTCAGTGTGATCCTTAACAGCAACCATGAGGATTACTGAGTGCCTTTCTGGGGCCTTTTGAATGCTATTTGGTGCAGCACCAGAGTCCCTACTAGATCTAGAGTTGGCTGCTATAGTTTTTTGTGGCTATTTCTTGCCATGGAGTCATTTTAAATGTGTTGCAACCTCATACACAATCCTAACGTGCCATCCCCTTTCTGTCATAGCAGGTACACTACACTAAAATTTCTTTGTAGCTCAATTTTATATAATCAAGATCACATAAATAAGGCTTCCATGTTAAAATCGTTGCAGTTTTTAGTGTATTCTTTTTGGAGGCCAAAGTTATACCTTATAAAGTGTTTCTTTCTGCTGCATTCATTGTGGCATTTCGCAAGACAAGTTATGTGGGTTTTCTTTCCCTCCTCTTGAGCTCTCAGCCTTCTGACTACAAGGTTTGGCGTAAGCCTTAGAATCTAAAAAATACCAGCCAGGCTATTCTACCTTCCAAGACCTGGGTGAATCATGAACCAGTTCTAAATCTAAAGAGAGTGAGAGAGGGAAGAAACCTGGCACGAACTTACAGTCTCTTTAATTACATGTAAAATGCATGTGATTGTATTTGCTTTTGGCTTAGCCCCATGGAGGGTTTAGAAAAATGTTTAGTCTCTGTGGAAGCTATCCAATTTTCCTTCTCCCAAAAAGATGTTTTAAATGTGGAATAGTATCACATTCCCCTGCCCCTTTATGAGTCCTTCATAACTTACTAAAGGCGATCAATTGTTATTTATGTAACTTGGCTCATTCAGTGTCAACTAAGAACCTAATTATATGCAATTTATTGTAAAAAAAAAAAACTATAAAAATATATTTTGATAGCTAATATTTTAGAGGAAAAATGATGTTGGGTGCACTCTATAAATGGGGAGAAAAGTATAAGTAGTATGTAGATTCCAAGGATACTGTATTTATTATACAGATAAGTGTGCCTGTGCTTCCATCAAACCCTTTTTCAGGTATCTCCTTTTAATTCATGAGGAGGAGAGAGTAGGGCATTTATAAAGCTAAGCTAAAATGATGCTAAGCATAATGTAGATGAGACGCCAGGCTGAACCAGGGGAAAGGTGGCATTGTTAGTGAGTGTCCCCAACTAGTACTCCACCTTTATCTGTGGCAGCTATAAATGTTTAGGACCCATCAGAGTCCTAAGAAAATGAGAGTAACTATCTCTGGCATCATCCACATTTCCGAACCTCTTTCCAATATCTTTTCCCTTTTTCTGTAATGTAGGCAGCATCCCCCTATTGTATTTTGGTTGCCCAAGATGCTTGATTCTTTTGAGTGTTTAGTTGCATTTCTTAAAATGAGATCAGACCAACCCTTGATTCACATGAAAGATATAATGACACAACAAAGAGAAGGTGACAGTTTTAAAGTATAATTGTCAGCCGACTGTGTATTTTATATTTGGTTCATAGAATATATCTAGACATGGGGAAAGTCTTCTATTTGGTAATTTAGTTAAAATGTAAATGTTATATATCACAGCAGATGTTGGTATGTTTTGGAGTGTGCTTCCATTGTGCTCAGGTTTTGAAAAGTTTGAGGTCCATTTTAGTCAAATGTAGTCAATGGGATTTCCAGAGATATATATTGTGTTTTTCTTATTGTACTGCACACTCCTTGAAGGCAGATAGTGTACTTAATATCACTGTCTTTTATAATACTGCCCTAGGTCTTTTTCATTTTTAAGAGACCGGGTCTCGCTATGTTGCCCATGCTGAACTCAAATGCCTGGGCTCAAGCAATCCTCCCACCTCAGCCTCTGGAGTAGCTGGGACTACAGGGGCATGCACCACCAGGCCTGGCTTTCTGGGTCTTTAAAGAGAAAATATTTGTTCAATTGAATAAAGGACAGGATTCTTGTCATCTACAACTCCAACACAGCCTGAAAATATCCACATTGTAACCTGGACTTTAGACGATCTCTCTCCACTATCCTGCAGAGCTCCATTTGTAACTACTTATTGGCTATCTGTATGAGTCCTCAAGCATCTCAGACTTTACATGAATAAAACTCAACTTTCTTCCCATTCAAATCTGTTTATTTTCTTCTGTAAGAGAAAGATACCATTTGAGACTCCAGAATCTGCCTCCAACTCTCAACAGGACTCTGCAGTTACTCTTCTATCTTTTCCATCCTCATTGCCCTGCCATTATTACATAAGCCCTGGTTCAAGTCCTTGTTACTTGTTCCCATTATTGCAATAACTTCTAATTCCAATGCCATTGTGTGATCCCATTTTAAACACTGTCAGAACAATCTTCCAACAATGTAGCTCTAATCTAGTTTCATCCCCACTTTTACATGCTTCGGTGGCTTTCCCAGTGACTTGGCATGGAACACTTCCTCAGTTGCCATACACTCCAGCTTTGTACTCTGACCCAAACTTTCTCTGTTCACACAGTTTCCTTTTGTTTTCTTCATTCACCCATCTGCATCTCTGACTGCTTATCCAAGACTTCTCTGTGATAGCTGACCCTTAGTCTTTCTCTCCCCTATTCCTCCAGATTAGATCCTGTCTCCTTCCTGCAACCCCCACACAGCCTTTAGTTTATAATCTTTTGTATGGTGCTTAGCACCTTCTATCCCTAAGGACAACTTATTCATTTGAGATTTCCCCCACAGCATCTGGCAGGGTGCCTTGCATGCAGTGGACACTCAGTATTTGCTGAATTAAATTCCTTCCTATGGATCCCTTCTGATTTTTTTTTTGAAGTGCCTCTAATACACATATCATTCTGGGGCTTATGCCACGTTTAATGTCATTTTCTAAAGGAAAATCTTATCTATGACATTTTCCCTCATAAGAGATAATTGTTTTGAGTAGGGTTTTTTTTTTAAAAGATACAGTAGGAAATTTTTTTTTTTTTTTTTTGAGACGGAGTCTTGCTCTGTCGCCCAGGCTGGAGTGCAGTGGCCAGATCTCGGCTCACTGCAAGCTCCGCCTCCCGGGTTCACGCCATTCTCCTGCCTCAGCCTCCCGAGTAGCTGGGACTACAGGCACCCGCCACCTCGCCCGGCTAGTTTTTTGTAATTTTTAGTAGACACGGGGTTTCACTGTGTTAGCCAGGATGGTCTCGATCTCCTGACCTCGTGATCCGCCCGTCTCCGCCTCCCAAAGTGCTGGGATTACAGGCTTGAGCCACCGCGCCCGGCCCAGGAATTTTTTTTTAAGCCTAAATATCAAATTCCTTTTCCTTTGGGGTGGGGGAAGGAATGAAGGGGGAACAACTTGCTCTTTCATATGAGTTGGTCATAGCATGTAAGAACCAATCTTGAAATAGTTTTTTTCTAAATGACTTATAATGTATTTCTAGAAATACTTTGTACTTAAAATGATAACAGTTTGTATCTTTTTGTCCATACAAAGATACTTTATAAATAAAAAAATTAGCATTGTAAATAATGTTAATATGTATTATATTTATACAAAATAAATTTAATATATTTTGTTGGTATGATTTTTTTCCCCCTCAAGACAGAGTCTTGCTGTGTCGCCCAGGCTGGAGTGGAATGGCGTGATCTCAGCTCACTGCAACCTTCACTTCCTGGGTTCAAGCAATTCTCCTGCCTCCGCCTCATGAGGAGCTGGGATTACAGATGTGCACCACCATGCCTGGCTAATTTTTTGTCTCCCTCAGTCTCCCCAAGTGCTGGGATTACAGGCATGAGCTACTGAGCCTGGCCAGCATCATACATTTAAAGATGAACTTCGGCCAGAGTCACACATGTAAAGATGAACTTCGGCTGGGCACAGTGGCTCATGCCTGTAATCCCAGCACTTTGGGACGCCGAGGCGGGCGAATCACTTGAGGTGAGGAGTTCGAGACCAGCCTGGCCAACATGGTGAAACCCCGTCTCTGCTAAAAATACAAAAAGCCAGACATTGTGGTGTGCGCCTGTAATCCCAGCTACTCGGGAGGCTGAGGCATGAGAACCTCTTGAACCCAAGTGGCGGAGGTTGCAGTGAGCTGAGATCATGCCACTGCACTCCAGCCTGGGCAACAGAGTGAGCCTCTATCTCAAAAAGAAATAAAGATGAACTTCATTTACCTCTTTTCCTGAAGCATAATTAATGGAAACACTTCTTCACCTACAAATGATGTTCCCAAAATGGCTTCTACTTCCAAGTTTTAACAAGTCAACTTACAGTGACTTAAGTGAATTAATTGGGTGATAAGGGGTAACCACAAGCATCACTACAGGCATACATATTCTCCACGAAGAATGGTGAAGAGGTCTCAGATTGCCTGTATTCATTGGGCCTATAGTGCAATCGTGCACTGCGTAACAATATTTCAGTCAAAGGCCACATATACGATAATGGTGGCATAAGATTATAGTCCTCTATTTTTACTGCACTTCTTTTTCTTAAAGGACTTACTGTACTTTTTCTATGTTTATATATATATTTAGATACACAAATACCTACCATTATGTTACAACTGCCTACAGTATTCAGTAACATGGTGTACAGGTTTGTCCTAGGTTTGTGACTTAAGAGCAACAGACTACATACAGCCTAGGTGTGTCTAGGCTAGACCGTCTAGGTTTGTGTAAGTACACTGATGAGCATAAAATGATGAAATTGCCTAAGGACTCATTTCTCAGAACATGTCCCTGACGTGACTATACTTTCATAATTTTCACCTTTGGGACCAGCTTATGGTATTGATAAGGGGTTTCCCTTAACACCAAACCAAATACACAACAAATAATGCTCAAAGGTAGAGGTTGAAAAAAAAATAAAAATCTCACTCTCGCCCAGGCTGGAATGCAATGGTGCCAACACTGGACCAGACTCCTGGGCTCAAGCAATCCTCCCACCTCAGCCTCCTCAGTAACTAGGAATACAGGCCTGTACCCCCATGCCTTTTTTTTTTTCTTAAGAGATGGAGTTTCTCTATGTTGCCCAGGCTGGTCTCAAACTCCTGGCATCAAGCAAGTCTCCTACCTCAGCCTCCCAAAGCTCTGGGGGCAGAAGCCACTGTGCTCAGCAGAGGTGGATTTCTAATGAGGGATAAAGCATATTTTTACTTGTTAGGGATTGTTTCATGCCTTGATCTCTGTCTGTCTGCCGAGTTCCAAAGAGAAATAACAGAGATGTTCTCATTCCCAGCAAACGTTTGTTTTTCCTTCCTTGGATTTCTGCCCTGAGTTTGTGGCTGCTTTCCTACAGTGCCGATCTAAGCTAGGTAAAATAGAAATTTCATGGTAAAACAAAGGAGATTAAAAAAAAAATAGAAATTTCAAGAATGCTTCAAAATCTAAAGCACAGAGTACTTTGCACACAGGGCATTTATTCCTGCCACACCTTGCTGCTACAGGTGGCCACTATTAGAATGCGATGTTCCACCAATGTCTCTTCACTTCACAATTTGAAAACTTTTTTTGTAGAGGCAGGGTTTTGTTATCTTGCCCAAGTAAGTCTCCAACTGCTGGCCCAAAGTGATCTTGCCTTGGCCTCCCACCAGCCACCTGCCTGGTTTTCGTTTCATACATCATTATTGATAGCAGACATCGTCCTATGCGCTTGGTAATACATCACGGAGCAAAACAGACAATAAAACGGCCATTGAGGATTTCATACACACACACACACACACACAATATATATAGAGGACATGGAAAAATATATATATAGAGAGAGAGAGAGACTCATTCTGTCACCCAGGCTGGAGTGCAGTGGTGTGATCTTGGCTCACTGCCGTCTCGACTCAGGTGATCCTCCCATCTCAGCCTCCAAGTAATTGTGACGACAGGCACGCGCCACCAGGACCGGCTAATTTTTTTGTAGAGGCGGGGTTTCGCCATGTTGGCCAGGCTGGTCCCTAACAACTGGGCTCAAGTGATCCGTCCGCCTCGGCCTCCCAACTTGCTGGGATTACAAGCGTGAGCTACCGTGCCCAGTCTCTAGTGATTACATTCTTGCCCTGTTTAGCCATTATGTCTCTCTACTCACAACAGTTTATAATGAAACTTTGCCTTACCATTTGCATGAATCGGCCTCAGCTTGTCATTATATATAAAGTTTAAATATGATTGGACTCTATCCAGGGCCCAGTTTTCCAGAAATTAGAAACAGATATGCCTAAGACCCAGAGGGTTATTACTCAAATCTGAAACGTTGACTCAAAACTTCCCCTAATGCCCACCTTTGGCAAACAGTGCTTAAACCTTTGCACGTGGCTGCAAAAAGTACCTGGCTGGGGACGCGTAGCTCTGGCGGGGCACTCTGCCTCCAAGCCAAAAGGGGGCAGTGGACTCACAGAGCCGCTGCTCGGCCCTCTGATCCCTCCACCCCACCCTGGGAACGTCACGACCTCCTCTCGCCGCTTCTCCCCGTCGCTAATGCGCAGGCGCTGGCGGGATAGCGCGCCGCCGAGCCAAGAAAGGGGTCACGAACTCTGACCCTCCCAAATACCCAAACACAGAAAGCTCCCTCCGCCGTGAATCTCGATCCCCCCTCCCGTGGGCTTCCTTCAACCTCTCTTTCCGGAGCGCCCCCCAATCCAGCAGTGGCAACCGCGGGACTGTCGCGTCGGGGCCCGACGCCGGAGTCAGGGGGGCGCAAAGGCGCCGGTAAGAAGCGCTGGGTGGGGACACCAGCGATCGCGTCGGGGGCGGGGGACGGGGGGTGCCCTTCACCCCAACGGCCAACGGACGCGCTCCCAGGGCATCCCCCGGCCTGCGCCCTGCGGCCAGCGGGGCCGTTCAGTTTGGGCGCGCCGCTTTGGGCTGCTGGAGTTGGGCTGGGAGCGCGGAGCGGCGGCGCCGAATGCTCTGGGTCCCCGGAGAGGCGGGGCGGCGGGACGCGGGGCCGGACGCCGAGCGGCTCGGAGCTCACAGCTGCCTCTCCCGGTGCGCTCATCGCAGCGCCTCTGACCTTTAACCTGCAGGGAAAGCTTCCGCGGTGCCGTAGCTTCCCCCGCCCCGGGGAGCCGCGCGCAGCGCCAGGGCCTCGAAGGCGCACGGCTAACGCCGGAACGAGTGAGTCCCGGGAGAGGCCGACCCTCGGCTAGTGGCCGCAGGTCCCGGCCTGCATCCCCTTCCTAACTCTCGTGTTTTCACGGGACGGACAGAATGACGCCCTCCACTTTCACTTTTCTCTCACGACAAATCGGGCCAGGGTCGTCGCTGCCTGTGGACCTGGATCTTTTCTAGAAGATACGGAACCGCCCCGGGGTCCTCACTGCAGGGGGCATGTCCAAGCTTCCGATAGATAGCTCTTTTGTTAAGAAATTCTTCTTTCAGCTCGTGCAGATACCATTTTTGTGCAGTACGAATGTTGCCAAGTTGTCCCATAATCTTCAGTAAGTAGGTCAGTCTTTAAAAAAGTAACCGGAAAGCAAAAGCAAAAGACCTAAAATTACGGCCTTTAGGGTTTAATACCTCTAGATGTTGTAAATAGACCTTCAATTTTGAGGTTTTTTGAACCATTTCTGCTGTGTGGTTGGTGATACTCGATGATTTTTTTTTTTTTTTTTTTTGGAGAGGGAGTCTCTGTCACCCAGGCTGGAGTGCCGTGGCGCGATCTCCGCTCACTACAACCTCCACCTCCCGGGTTCAAGCGATTCTCCTGTCTCAGCCTCCTGAGTAGCTGGGACTACAGGCGGGAGCCACCACACCCAGCTGAATTTTTTTTTTTTTTTTTTTTTGTATTTTTGGTAGAGATGGGGTTTCACCATGTTGGCCAGTATGGTCTCGATATTCTGACCTCGTGAGCCACCCGCCTCGGCCTTCCAAAGTGCTGGGATTACAGGCGTGAGCCACCGCGCCCGGTCGATGATTGTTTTTAAACTGCTTTAAGTCCAGTTAGTAAATCTGAAAAAGTGATGTGTATTTCTATCATTAAAAGTGGGTCGTGGCTGGGCGCGGTATCTCACACCTGTAATCCCAGCACTTTGGGAGGCCGAGGCGGGCAGATCATCTGAGGTCAGGAGTCCGAGACCAGCCTGACCAACATGGAGAAACCCCGTTTGTAGTAAAAATACAAAATGAGCCGGGCGTGGTGACGCACGCCTGTGATCCCATCATCTCCAGAGGCTGAGGCAGGAGAATCGCTTGAACCTGGGAGGCGGAGGTTGCTGTGAGCAGAGATCGCGCCATTGCACTCCAGCCTGGGCAGCAAGAGCGAAACTCCATCTCAAAAAAGAAAAAAAGTGGGTTGCATGAAATGTTGCTAATCTTAGTCTTTCAAGGGGCATGTTAGTGTCTTCTAGGAAGGGGTTTTTTTTGTTTTATAGAAATGGTGGAGGGCCTCATTTTGTTGTCCAGACTGATCTCTGGTCTCAAGCTGTCCTCCTGCCTCAGCCTGTTGAGTAGCTGGAATTACAGGCACTGCATCCTAAGGAAGGATTTTGAGGGAGCAAACATCCCCAAAGTATCTACCATCTGGGTGTCTGCCACACAGTGTATAATCTCTACTCTTGGGGAATAAAAACAAAACAGCATACAATAAATAATAGTATAAATATAATTCGTTGCCTTTTTTCAGTCACAAGACCATCTGCAGCCTCTTAAAGTCTTTTATGAACTGTCTCTAGAAAAATGTACCTTTAGATAAAATTTACATACAATATTAGGAGTTAACAGAAATCTATTTCTGAATCCTAGTTAACAACCTTAGTCTACACAATAAATGCTAGACCCTTCAAGAAAGACTGGGTGAAAAACTATGAACCAAAGTTTTTTTTTTTTTTTCCCAGATGGAAGTTTTGCACTTGTTTCCCAAGCTGGAGTGCAATGGTACGATCTCGGCTCACTGCAACCTCCACCTCCCAGGTTCAAGCGATTCTCTTGCCTCAGCCTCCCGTGTAGCTGGGATCACAGGCACCATCCACCACACCCGGCTAAATTCTTGTATTTTTCGTAGAGATGGGGTTTCACCATGTTGGCCAGGCTGGTCTTGAACTCTTGACCTCAGGTGATCCACGTACCTTGGCCTCCTAAAGTGCTGGGATTACAGGCATGAGCCCTGGCTTGAACCAAATCTTAAGGGTCAGGTGGGATTTAAATGAGGGAGAAAGTAGGAATATGTTGGGGAATAAAGCACATGATAGTTTGACCTGAAGAGGGCCCCTCTTGGGAGTGACAGGAAATGAGAATGGGGGAAGTCGGATTATAAAAGAACTCTCCCTTGTGTTCACAGTGCCAGACACCTTGTGAAAGCATAATAAATATTGAATGAATACCAAGGGAAGGAATTAAAACTTTGTTCCTTTGCCATTAAAGCAGCACTGATGCTCTGAAGTTGAAGAATAAGGATGTGATTTAGTTCTGTAAGTCGTTCTGTGAATGCCAGGCCCATAGTAAGCATTCAACAAGTATTTGTTGAATGGAAGAAAATTGAATAAATTTTTGAGCCAGTGAATATGAACATTTTTAAGGCTCTTGGTATACATTGGCAAATGACTTTTCTAGGAGGGTTAAAACAGTCTAACCTTTTACTAACAGTATATAAAGAATGTGTGTGTTGGCTGGGTACAGTGCCTCATACCTGTAATCCCAACACTTCGGGAGATTGAGGTGGGCGGATCACTTGAGGTCAAGAGTTCGAGACCAGCCTGGCCAACGTGGTAAAACTTTTTCTCTACAAAAAATACAAAAAGTAGCTGGGCATGGTAATGCATGCCTGTAATCCCAGTTACTCGGGAGGCTGAGGCAGGAGAATTGCTTGAACCTGGGAGGCAGAGGTTGCAGTGAGCCGAGATTGCACCACTGCACTCCAGCCTGGGTGACAGAGCAAGGTTCTGTCTCAAAAAAAAAAAAAAAAAAAAAACTTGGAAATTTTACTTTTGTATTGGCTGCTCAAGGCCGGTTTATCAGGCTGGATCCTATTTGAAGCTGGGAAGAATGGGAAGAAAACAGACACTGCTATCAGAGCAGCCTTAACTTATACCGTTGCTTATCTTCTTTCTCATCTCCTCAGGGTAGAGACCGTCTTTATTATCCTATCCTAGTGTCAGACATAGATCCTGGAACTCAACTGAAAGGTGTAGTTAAGGAAAGGGAAAGTTGCTCTTTTTTATAAGATTGAGAATCCCAGTGCAGTGGCATCCATGAAGGAAGGATGGATGGTTGGATGCATAGATGCATGGATGCATGGATGGATGGATTAATAAATGTTTAAAAGCATTCTTTCAGTCATCCAGTCACAAAATTTTGGGGAAAAAAAGGAATGTGTATGTTGCCTTATCTTCGGAGTTAAATTTAGTCTTGGAAAATATATAGTCATATGTGATGGGGATGTGTTCTGAGAAATGCATCCCTAAGTGATTTTATCATGAATGAACATCATAGAGCATACTTACACAAAACTAAGTGATATAACTTACCATACACCTGGGCTATACAGTATAGCCTGTTGCTCTTAGTTTACAAACCCACAGAGCATGTTAATTTAGTGAATACTGCAGGCAGTTTTAACACAGTAGTATTTGTGGAAGTAAAAAATCTAAACATCAAGAGGTACAGTAAAAATAATGTTACGGGTGTAATCTTGTGGTACCGCTATTGTATATGCAGTCTCATACACTGACTAAAACATCATGCAGTACATGACTATGTATTGATCTGGTGAGTCCCTGGAATTCATTCAGATAAACAAATAGTTTATCTTCCTAAGTTTTCATTATGAAGTGACTTCTTTGAGTCTAATGCACCAATGCACTGGTGTTGATTTTAGGATTTCTGGAAAAGATTTCTTATTTTTTATTACTTTAATTTTTGTGGTAATACTTGTATTTAAGCAAAATTTAAAAGCACCAAACACTTATTCAGTGAAAAATAAGCCTCCCATTCCTGTTCCCAAACTTACAGTTTCTTTCCTTGGAGGTAGTTATTGGAACCATTTTTTTTCTTACGTGTCCTTTAAGGTGTAGTTTTTCTTTTTCTTTTTTTCTCTTTTGAGACAGAGTCTCACTCTGTCACCCAGGCTGGAGTGCAGTGGCGTGATCTTGGCTCACTACAGCCTCTGCCTTCCAAGTTCAAGGGATTCTTCTGCCTCAGCTTCTCAAGTAACTGGGATTACGGGCACCCACCACCATGCCCGGCTAATTTTTTCTTTTTTTTTTTTTTTTTTTATGAGACAGAATTTCACTCTTGTGGCCCAAGCTGGAGTGCAATGGCGTGATCTCGGCTCACTGCAACCTCCGCCTCCCAGGTTCAAGCAATTCTGCTTCAGCCTCCCGAGTACCTGGGATTACAGGCATGTGCCACCATGCCTGGCTAATTCTGTATTTTTAGTAGAGATGGCATTTCACCATGTTGGCCAGGCTGGTCTTGAACTCCTGATCTCAAGTGATCAGCCCATCTTGGCCTCCCATAGTGCTGGGAGTACAGATGTGAGCCACTGGGGCTGGCCCAAGTGTAGATTTTCTTGTCTTTAGGCAGCATTTGAAAGTTTTATTTGCCTACCTAGATCTTGCATGTTTCTTGCTAGGTTTATGCCTGAGTGTTACGGGCTGAATTCAGTTCTCCCACAAAATCACATGAATCCCAAATTCCTGTGTTGATATCCTAACCACCAGTACCGCAAATTGAGTATATTTGGAAATAAGACCTTAAAAGAGATAATTGAGTTAAAATTAGTTCATTAGAGTATGCCGTAATCCAAAATAACAGATGTCTTTCTATGAAGAGATTATAACACAGGCACTCAGAGGGAAGACTGTATAAACAGATACATGGAGATACATGGAGGGCTAAAGATACATGGAGGGCTGGGGCTGGGTGCAGTGGTTCACGCCTGTAATCCCAGCACTTTGGGAGGCCAAGGCGGGTGGATCACGAGGTCAGGAGATCAAGACCATCCTGGCTAACACAGCGAAACCCCATCTCTACTAAAAATACAAAAAAATTAGCCAGTGTGGTGGCAGGTGCCTGTAGTTGCAGCTACTCAGGAGGCTGAGGCACGAGAATGGCATGAACCCGGGAAGTGGAGCTTGCAGTGAGCCAAGATCGTGCCACTGCACTCCAACCTGGGTGACAGAGCAAGACTCCATCTCCAAAAAAAAAAAGATACATGGAGAGCTGGGCGTGGTGGCTCATGCCAATTCAATTCCAATACTTGGGAGGCCGAGACAGGAAGATTGATTGAGCCCAGGAGTTTGAGGCCAGCCTGGGCAACACAGTGAGATCCCATCTGTACAAAAAATAAATTAGCCAGGTGTGGTGGTGTATACCAGTAGTTCCAGCTCCTCAGGAGGCTGAGGTGGGAGGATCACTTGAGCCCAGGAGGTTGAGACTGCAGTGAGCTGTAATGGTACCACTACACTCCAGTCTGGTTGATAGAGTGAGGCCTTGTTTTTAAAAAAGAAAAAGAAAAAAAAAACATGGAAAAGGCAACCATGAACGGAAAAGAGACTTCAGAAAAAGCCAACCCTCCCACTTCAACTAGATATTTTGAAGCAAATCTTAAATATCATATAGTTTTATTTATAAATTAATAAGTGTTTTTGTGAATTTAATTATAAAGCATCTTTTTATTTTTGGCAGGACATCTTGGCAGTTAGATCATGGCAACCATAGAAGAAATTGCACATCAAATTATTGAACAACAGATGGGAGAGGTATGTCTAGTTTACAGTTGATGCACTGATCCACCAAACTTTTATAATTCATACTAAATGCATATACCAGGTTCTGGAGTTCCAGAAATAAAAGATATTCCCTAACTTAAGATAGCTTTTCAAGCTACTGAGAGATAGTTGAATAATCAGACAATTCATAGTAGAATGTGGTAAGTTTTGTGACAGGTCATTGTATCAGGTGCAATGGGAGCACAGAAGAAAAACAATTGAAAGGAATGAAGGGAAGGAAGGAAGGAAATTAAAGAGCTGTAGAGTGAGTAGGAATGCTTTTGGAGGGAATGCTTTTTAGAGGGTACAATCTGAGACCAGTTTTGGTGGGATCAGGAGTTCAGTGTCAATACTGACATCTTCATTTTTTTTAATGGTTACCTCCTAATACTTGTAATAGATACCAGATAATTTGGAAGTTCTCAAAGTATTATCTGGGGACACTTTCAGAGAATGAACCAGGTGAAGACCATTTTTTTATAATACCGAAATGTTATTTGCCATTTCGGTATTGTTCTCTCCCAGGTATACAGTGGAATTTTCTACAGACTGTGTGACGTGATGATACTGTACGATATAATTTGTCAACATTTATAAGGTGTACATAACTCACTGAATCATTGTTTTCCAGATGACCAGTGTATAATGTTACAAAATTATGCATGAGTGAAGGATCCATTTAAATTGCAGGATAGACCAACAGATTTTAATATAGTTTATGACTCTACCTTGCAGCTAACCTTTGAAAAACTGCCACTTGTTGAGTTGATATAGTATCAAAGAACAACTTTCACAGTTTGAAAAGGGTATTAAAATATCCTTCCCCTTTTCAACCAATAAATATGAAACTGAATTTTCTTTACCATATATATGGTGAAGAAATATATTTCCAGCTGATTTTTTGTGACCATTTTCCATGCTTACGTACCTGGCTAATGTTTTGTATATTTTATAGCAACAGGGTTTTGCCAAGTTGTCCAGCCTGGTCTGGAACTCCTGACCAGGAGCAGTCCACACTCGCCTTGGCCTTCCAAAGTGCTGGGATTACAGGTGTGAGGTACTGTGCCCAGCCTCGTTATAACCAAAACAACATAGTCCAACAGATTAAATGAAGAAACAGATACGAAATTCCAACTTCTGTTAAACCAGACTTTATTAAAGCAATATGTAGGAATGTAAAACAAAGCCATTCTCTCCACTACATTTTTGTTTGTTTGGAAAATAAAGTTTTTAGTCATTAAGAAATAGGTTATAATGGGTACCAAAAAAATAGGATGAATGAATTAGACCTAGTCTGTGATAGCACAACAGACAGACTATAGTCAATAATTTTTTATTTTTATTTTTATTTTTTGAGACAGAGTCTCACTCTGTTGTCCAGTCTGAAGTGCAGTGGCGCTGTCTCGGCTCACTGCAATTCTCCGCCTCCCTGGTTCAATCGATTCTCCTGCCTCAGCCTCCCAATTAGCTGGGATTACAGGCGCTTGCCACCAAGCCTGACTAAATTTTGTATTTCTAGTAGAGACGGGGTTTCAGCATGTTGGTCAGGCTGGTCTTGAGCTCCTGACCTCGTGATCCGCCCGCCTCAGCCTCCCAAAGTACTGGAATTATAGGCTTGAGCCTCTGTGCCCAGCCAATAATAATTTAATTATACATTTAAAAATAACTAAAAGAGTATAATTGATTGATTGTAACATACAGGATAAATGCTTGAGGGGATGGATGCCCTATTTTTCCATGCAATTCTTACGTATTGCCTGCCTGTATCAAAACATCTCATGTACCCATGAAAATTAAAAATAAATTTTATAAAATTATGTTAACATTTAATGGATTGTTAATTTTTAAATGAATCAACTATTTTTAAAATCTCTCTTTGAATTTCTAACTCACATGCAGAAAACCCCATCCCTACTAAAATACAAAAAATTAGCCAGGTGGGGTGGCCGGTGCCTGTAGTCCCAGCTACTTGGGAGGCTGAGGCAGGAGAATCGCTTGAACCCAGGTTGCAGCGAGCCGAGATGGCACCACTGCACTGCAGCCTGGGCGACAAGAGTGGAACTCCGTCTCAAAAAAAAAAGCTCTTCGGAACCCTCAGTAATATTTTAGCCTATAAACTGGTCCTGAAACCTAAGAACTGTTTCCATTATTTACTACTTTTCTCTATTGAAGGCTCTTTGGATTGCCTAAATATTCAATTATTATAATTATTATGCTGCAGTAATGTCCTTTTACTCATTTAAGCAGAATGTTTCAACCCGAGAGCAGTTGGACCATGAATGTGCTAAATGCTCTTCTCTAAGAAATCAGTATGAACTATTAGTCTTTTATCCAATACAACTTGCTTTAGGTAGAAACTGATTAGTGAATCAGAACTTTGTTTTAAATTTTGCATAGAAAAGAATACTGAAATAATTTCAGGAAAATAAAAATAGAAAAAGTTTGGTACAGAAGGAACAGGATTGGAATTTTGGAAAATTAGAAACAAACTGACTTTGCCATTTTAAAATTGAATCAAGGAATTTAATTGGCTTAATGATGTTTACTCTGTAATATATTTGCTGAATAACAGAAACTCTGAATGCTGAAATAGTTCTGTATATTCATGAACTTTTTCCTCCCCCCAGATGGCAGATGGCAGTTCTGTCCTCCCAGTTGCTCAAGCCAAAATTTTATAATCCTCCTTGACTCTTCTTTCTTCATATTCCACTTCAGTCCATCAGCATATTTTGTTACTTCTCCTTAAAATAAATAAATCCCAATTTAATTGTTTTTCACCCCCAGCTTGGCTACTACCCTGTTCCTGGCCAGTATTTCTGCCCATATGTCATAACCACATATTGATGGTATCTGCAATAGTGTCCTTTCTGATCTCCCTTAATTTTACTTCTGAACTTTTTTTTTTGAGACAGACTCTTGCTCTGTCACCCAGGCTGGGGTGCAGTGGCGCGCTCTCGGCTCATTGCAACCTCCTCCTCCCCAGTTCAAGTGATTCTCCTGCCTCAGCTTCCCGAATAGCTGGAGTTACAGGCACATGCCACCATGCCTAGCTAATTTATTGTATTTTTAGTAGAGACGGGATTTCACTGTGTTAGCTAGGATGGTCTCAATCTCCTGACCTCATGAGCTGCCTGTCTCGGCCTCCCAAAGTGCTGGGATTACAGGCATGAGCCACTGTGTCCAGTCCTTTTTTTTTTTTGAGGCAGAATCCTGCTCTGTCTCCCAGGCTGGAGCATAGTGGTGTAATCCCAGCTTACTGCAACTTCTGCCTCCAAGGTTGAAGTGATTCTCCTGTCTCAGCCTCCCCAGTTGCTGGGATTACAGGCGCCCATCACCATGCCCAGCTAATTTTTGTATTTTAGTAGAGACAGGGTGTCGTCATGTTGGCCAGGCTGGGCTTGAACGCCTGACCTCAAGGGATCCACCTGCCTCAGCCTCCCAAGGTGCTGTGATTATGGGCGTGAGCCACTGTACCCGGCCTGCTCCTGAACATTTGCAGTCTCTTCTTCACACTAAATTTAGAATACTTTTTTTATACTTTTTTTTTTTTTTTTTTTTTTTTGAGACAGGGTCTCACAGTGTTGCCCAGTCTGGTCTTGAACTCCTGGCCTCAAGTGATCCTCCTGCCTCAGCCTCCCAAGTAGCTGGGATTATAGATGCATGTCACTGTGCCTGTCTGATTCCTTTTTAAAAAGTAAAATCCTGTCACTCCTCTGCTCCAAACCCTCTGGTGGCTCTCTATTTCACACAGTAGGAAATCTAGACTTTTGTTTGGCCTATAAAGCCCTCTAAGTCCCAGCTGTCACTCAGATCCCATATTCTAGTGTAATCCCTGTCTTCCCTTCTGTCTTACTCATCATATATCTCTGTCGCTGTGCCTTGTGCCTCACATGTGTCAAACACCCTCCCTCCTGCCCTGGGACCTACTTATATGCTCTGTTTCCTCTACCTGGAATGTTCTTCCCCTAGGTAGTCGTAACCCTTGGTCTGTTTCTTCACTCAGGACTGTGCAAAAATGACACCTCCTTAGAGTGAACTTCCCTCGTTGCCCTCATTCTGTTACTGTCTCACCTTACCTTGTTTTTCTTCATAGCACTTAGTACCCCCTGACAATATTATTATTTGCTTATTTATTATCTGTCTTTCCCCACTAAAATAAAAGCTTCATGAAGGCAAAAGTTTTGTTTTATTCACTGCTACATCCCAGTATGCAGAACAGCTAATATAAATCACCCAATATATGTTTGTCTAAATGGAACATGGGAGGGAAGGGGAAAGAGGGAATCAAAATAGTGAAGTCAAAATGTTCTTACTATTGTACATTTGTTTGCACATTTGTTTATTTCTGTAGGTTAGAATTTTGTGGCAATAGAATTGGTATTTTAAAAGGTACGCGTGTGTTATATTGCATATATATGAAATGATGCGTTTTTGCAAGAAGATAATTGTGTCATTAAAGAAAAATAAATGATTGAGTTTAGTTGATTATTTTTCATGATTTTGTTAGATTGTTACAGAGCAGCAAACTGGGCAGAAGATCCAGATTGTGACAGCACTTGATCATAATACCCAAGGCAAGCAGTTCATTCTGACAAATCATGATGGCTCTACTCCAAGCAAAGTCATTCTGGCCAGGCAAGATTCCACTCCAGGAAAAGTTTTCCTTACAACTCCAGATGCAGCAGGTGTCAACCAGTTATTTTTTACCACTCCTGATCTGTCTGCACAACACCTGCAGGTAAATAACTATAGAAGTGTCTTTTCCTCTTATATATATAAAAAATTTTTTTAATCATAAGCCCTGCCATGAAGACTTTAGATCTACATATATTCAGTAGGAAAAAAATGCATAAAATTATGTGCAACACAATATCTACAGTGACAGCCCTCTCCTATGAGCTACTGTACTTTCCTCACAGCCATATATTTTGGGGGATTATTTGTTGCATACAGTAAGATCCACTCTGGCTATTGTAGCCAGGACGATGGGACGGCCTTTAATAAAGGATATAGAGAGCTTGCAGAATTGTTAGGAAGGTTGAAGAAACAGTTCTAGGCCAGGTTTTCAAGAATGACTATTGGAGCATGCTGCAAAACTGGCTTCTAAGAGACCTAGTACTTCTGCATAATTAGGAAATTGTCAACTCAGGAGCAGCTTTTGTAGCTGTATTTTCCAGAACCAAGCTGCCTGTGCTACAAATAGGAAGCTGCCAAATCAAGAAGTTTGGACTATAGTTGCTGGCTTCAGCATTGTGCCTCCTTTGTTGTCTTGCACATCTTCATGAAATAGCAAGCAGTGTAGTCATGGTCTCCTGCTTTACTCTGAAATGAAGTAGTATATATTAACATTACATCATTTTAGTTTTTGCTAGAATAGAAAACTACACATTATTCTTCAAAAACTCAAAAACTTACACACCACATGCCTGTGGGGTTACGTCAATGGTTTCACTGCTGGCTGTTATGATTGAATACAAATATAATGTACTCTGAAGTTGCCTTCAGAAACTTTTTGAAGGGAGTCTACTTAAAATTGGGTTCCATCTTTTATGATGAAAAACTCACGAAAGAAAATTCTTCTTTGATTGACAAACTGAATTCATAAAACATGAAATTTTGCCTATATATCCTGATATCATCTGTTCATCCAATGATATTTGTATTAGTTTTGGAAATAAAGGTAGAAAGTGGATACAGTCATACATTTATAAGAAGTTATTTTATCAACAAGACAGAAGTCACAAAAAAAGTATAACATTATACGTACCTTAATTTCTCTTTCTTAAAGCAGTAGACTTGATTTTTTGAGTCTGGCGCCTTAGACCACTCAGCCGTCCTGACACCCTGTAGACTTGATTTTTTAGAATAGTTTTAGATTTTCAGAAAAACTGAGCCTATAGAACAGAGTTCTCATATTACTCCCCCATAAATACACACAGTTTCCCCTATTATTAACATTTTACATTCATGATATATTACAATTAATGAGCAATACTGATACAATGTTAACTAAGTTTATAGGTGTTTAGATTTTCCTTAGTTTTTGCCTAATGGCTTTTTTTTGTCCCAGGATCCCATCCAGGATACCTTCCTGCATTGAGTTGACATGTCTCCTTAGGCTTCTCTTGGCTAGGACAGTTTCTCAGACTTTCCTTGTTTTTGATGACCTTGACAGTTGTGTGAGGAGTACTGGCCAGGTATATTGTAGGATGCCCCACTATTGGACTTGGTCTGATGTTTTTCTCAGGAACGTGGGCAAATCCCTTCATCTCTTAATATCTCCTTCCAGACTTAGGAATAATAGATAAAAGATCAGCGGCATTTGTAACAGGTAGGCTATTAAAGAAAAGAGTAATACTTGCCATAGATGCTTTCATAGGACATCTAGTACCAAAAGTTTTTGTTTTGTTTAAGTACTTATTGAAGACTGATTTTTGTGGTGATATAAGAAGAAATGATGCTATATATTACATAGTAAGGGGCAGTCATTTTAAGAACCATTTAAAGTTGGTAAAATCAGAAGTATTCCTGAAGGAGTTCAAATGCCATACCATTATTTTAATTGAATTTATTTGTTCACATTTCAAGATTGAAAGAAAATGATGAAAAAGTTGAAAGATAAACCTAAAGGAAGAAACTAGTTTCCTTTTTTTTTTTTTCTTTAGACGGAGTCTCGCTCTGTCTCCTAGGCCAAAGTGCAGTGGTATAGTCTCAGCTCACTGCAACCTCTGCCTCCAGGGTTCAAGTGATTCTCCTGCCTCAGCCTCCCAAGTAGCTGGGATTAACAGGCACACACCACAACACTTGGCTAATTTTTTGTATTTTTAGTAGAGACAGGGTTTCACCACATTGGCCAGACTGGTCTTGAACTCCTGACCTCGGGTAGTCCGCCTGCCTCGGCCTCCCAAAGTGCTGGGATTATAGGTGTGAGCCACCACACCCGGCCTTTTTTTGTTTTTTAAAGAAGAAACTAGTTTCCTTTGCCAGTATCTTATTAGCTGTGCCTAGTGATGAGCTTTTTAAGTCCATACCTTTGTATAGCAAACACATCTGCATGATTATAATTACCTCAAGGAAATTTATTTATAGCCCCTTTTCTATTTAAAAGGTTCAGAGTTATCTCTTTATGCTATTACAAGCTTATTTTTGTCACGTCATTCCACATGGAAAGGTTCTGAGCTCCTCATAGAGTACAAAGTTTAAAAATAACTTGTGAAAAAGAAAGCAACAAAGCAAGACCAACTGAATGTTCTTTAATTTTTTTAATAGAATGAGTGCTACTGAGTAACAACAGGTTTTTGTTTTGTTTTGTTTTGTTTTTTTAGCTCCTAACAGATAATTCTTCTCCAGACCAGGGACCAAATAAGGTTTTTGATCTTTGCGTAGTGTGTGGAGACAAAGCATCAGGTAACATTAAGAATAACCTCCTGAAAATAAAAAAAGAAAAAAAAAAAACCTCCTATATGTGTCGTGTTGTTGAAATAACTACCACACTACCATGTTTCTTCTACTTAAAGTATGTCACTTTGGTTAATATTTGTAGCCTATAAAATTTAACTGATTTTTTCCCGAAGTTCGTTTTTTGTGATAGAGTCTCACTGTTGCTCTGGCTGGAATGCAGTGGCGTGATCTCAACTCACTGTAGCCTCTGCCTCCTGGATTCAAGCAATTCTCCTGCCTTGGCCTCCCAAGTAGCTGGGGCTACAGGTGTGTGCCAGCACACACGGCTAATTTTTGTATTTTTGTTAGAGATGGGGTTTCACCATGTTGGCCAGGCTCGTCTCAAACTCCTGACCTCAGGTGATCCACCCTCCCCTCCTTGGCCTCTCAAAGTGCTGGAATTACAGGTGTGAGCCACCATGCCTGGTTCCAAAGCTCTTTATTCACTTATATTTTTTTTTACTTCAGTGCAGTTTAATTTGATTTGTAATGAAATAAAATGCATATTTCACTTTTGAAAGTGAATATGTAAAAAAAAAAATTTTTTTTTTTTTGAGATGGAGTCTTGCTGTGTTGTCCTGACTGGAATGCAGTGGTGCAATCTTGGCTCACTGCAACCTCTCCCTCCTGGGTTCAAGCAATTTTCCTGCCTTGGCCTTCTGGGTAGCTGGGACGACAGGTGTGTGCCACCACGCCTGGCTAATTTTTGTATTTTTAGTAGAGATGGGCTTTCACCATGTTGGCCAGACTGATCTCGAACTCCTGACCTCAAGTGATCCACCTGCTGTGGCCTCCCAAAGTGCTGGGATTACAGGCATGAACCACCATGCCCAGCTGTAGAAAAATGTTTTAATGTGAAAACTAGACATTTTGGCCAAGGAATCATTTAAAAATGATGACTTCTGATCTTTACTAATATATTACATTAGGCCAGGTGAGATGGCTCATGCCTGTAATCCCAGCACTTTGGGAGTGGAGGCAGGAGGATCGCTTGAGGCCAGGAGTTCAAGACTAACCTGGGCAAGATGGCAAGACTGTCTCTACAAAAAAAAAAAATAACAAAACTGGTCAGGTGTGGTGGCACAAGCCTGTAGTTCCAGCTACTTGGGGATATCACTTGAGTCCAGTAGTTCGAGACTGCAGTGAACTGTGATTGCACCATTGCACTTCAGCCTGAGCCACAGAGTGAGATCCTGTCTCTAAAAAAATTACAATAAATAAATAAAAATAACTTCTAAAAATGTTTTTTATGTCAGAAGCTCAAAAATCAGTTTCACCTCATGTTGTTTAAAGGGAAGAAATTGGCTTATTTCATGTCTGTTCTGAAATAATGTGACTTTTATGTTTTCTTAAACATTTTATCTCTAGGACGTCATTATGGAGCAGTAACTTGTGAAGGCTGCAAAGGATTTTTTAAAAGAAGCATACGAAAAAATTTAGTATATTCATGTCGAGGATCAAAGGATTGTATTATTAATAAGCACCACCGAAACCGCTGTCAATACTGCAGGTTACAGAGATGTATTGCGTTTGGAATGAAGCAAGACTGTATGTATTAGCTTTTAAGGAGAAAATACTTTTTAAAGATTCCAGCAAACTAGAAGAGTATTGAAATTAACAAATTAAAATAGGTCAAATATGTATACTTTTTAGTTGACAGTTTTCCAACTAAAAATATAAGAATGCAGACATAAGTATGTATTTTTTATTTTTTCAACTAATATTTATTGAATACCTGTGTAAAAAGCACATATTTGTAGTTTGGCAGAAAGTTTAACTAGCTTAAGATACCAGTTTACTTTTTGATTAAACTACTAAAAGGTGATTAGTAAGATAATGACAATACCTAGTATTGATTGAGCTCGCACTATGCTAGACACTGCACTTAGCATATGTATTAACTTACTCTCACAGCAATTCTCTGCAGTAGGTACTAGGTTACCCATTTTACATTTGGGTAAACAGGTTGAGAAACCTGCTCAAGGTCATACAACTAATATAAGTGGCATAAGCTGGCTTTGAATCCTGGCAGTTTAACAGCCTTACTGTACTATCTCCTAAGTGTTATGAGATAAAATTCTTACAAATACTATGTATTATATTTTAGAAAGGAAGACCAAGTAGTTGAATTACTTCTCAAAAATGTCTTGCCCTTCGTTAATAAAAGATCTACCTTAGGCCTTTTTGTTCCTTTCAGTATTTTTTCAATGGATTAAATTTCACTTCATTTTGTTTAAAGCTCTCATATAGATAGGTAAGTGACTACTAACTTTAGTTCTTTCTTCTTGATGGTGAACTTTTAAAAAAGAGTTCCTTTTCATTTTTATCACAGGAATGGGGGAGCAGGGAGAGAAAAAAGAATGAGAGATGCAAATTGGTTAGTTTTACTAATCTAAAGCAACTTTGTTGAACTCGCACATAATTTCTAAAGATTGATGGTTATCTTTGGAGTTTAGTATGGTAGCCATGTCTCCTATTAGCAGCATTAAGCTTACCTACAGCTTACATTTATAATTGTCTGTAAATCCTATATTGTGATATAATAGTTTAACACATTTTTGTAGCTGTCCAATGTGAAAGAAAACCCATTGAAGTATCACGAGAAAAATCTTCCAACTGTGCCGCTTCAACAGAAAAAATCTATATCCGAAAGGACCTTCGTAGCCCATTAACTGCAACTCCAACTTTTGTAACAGATAGTGAAACTACAAGGTAAAGTAAAACAGACACTGAGTAGCTGGTCATTTTGTTTTTCTTCCCAGTGAAACTCAGGCCAAAATGTGTACTTATTTGTTACAGGTCAACAGGACTTTTAGATTCAGGAATGTTCGTGAATATTCATCCATCTGGAGTAAAAACTGAGTCAAATGTGCTGATGACATCAGATAAGGTGTGTTTAGTACAATTTAAAGCTTAGATATTTTTAAGCATTTTAAAATGTTTTCCTAATCGCTTCCTTTGCTTTGGTAAATTGCTTTGTTCTTAAATACTCCACGTTACAAGATGTGTTTTTGTTTTTTTTTTTAACGTAAATTAGAAATGTTCAGCCGGGCACGGTGGCTCACACCTGTAATCCCAGCACTTTGGGAGGCCAAGGCACGTGGATCGCTTGAGGTCAGGAGTTCAAGACCAGCCTGACTAACATGGAGAAACCCCGTCTCCACTAAAAATAGAAAAATTAACTGGGTGTGGTGGCACATGCCTGTAATCCCAGCTACTCGGGAGGCTGAGGCAGGAGAATCGCTTGAACCCGGTAGGTGGAGGTTGCGGTGAGCCAAGATGGCACCACTGCACTCCAGCCTGGGCAACAAGAGTGAAATTCTGTCTCAAAAAAAACAAAAAAACAAAAAATCAGAAATGTTCCTAATTTCACTAGGATGATTATCACTTCAACATGAAAGCAACAAACACATACTCTTCCCTCATCTTGAAATACGAGTCCTCAGTAAAAGACATTTATAGGTGTAAAATTCTTAATATTTCTTTTATGTTCCTTTACAGATTTGTTAGTGCCAAAATACATGGTTTTTTTTTTTAGTGCCAAAATACTTAACATATTTAAATATTTCAGGTAAAAGGAAATTCTTAGCTCACCTCCATCAGAATACTTACTTGAGTCAAGAGTAGGAATAGGACGGCAAGAGCTCTCCTATCATGTATCCAGGTCATCCAGTTCTCTTAGAGATTGGAGCAGCTCTACGTTAGACCAAGGGTCTAAAGGAAAAACAGTTTGTTTATTTAAATTGAACATGAAGAAATTCTGTATTTGTCAGAAGCCCTTTGGGAGAACAAGAAACAAAAATTTCTCCTGAAAACTCATATCTGAAAACAGATTTTAGGAAGCCTACAATCAGGGTTTCTCTCAGCCTATGATCTGGGTTTTTTGTTTGTTTGGTTTTTAAACAGGGTCCCCTCTGTCACCCAAGTTGGGGGTGCGGTGGTGGCACAGTAATGGCTTGCCACAGCCTCATCCTCTCAGGCTCCAGTGATCCTCTCACCTCAGCCTCCCAAGAAGCGAGGGCTGCAGGCACATGCCACTGTGCCTGGCTGATTTTTCCTATTTTTGTAGAGACCAAGTCTCATTGTGTTGCCCAGCTGGTCTCGAACTCCTGGGCTCAAGTGATCCTCCTACCTCGGCCTTCCACATTGCTGGGGTTATGTGCATGAGCCACTCTGCCTAGCCAGGATCTGATTTTATATAACTTATAAGATTATTTGTCCTACTTATGCAAGATTCGTTATATATTTGTCACTTGCTGCTTTACAGTACTCTGAATACTTAGGCTCCGAAATCAAATTTCATCTACCACTTACTAGCTATATAACATTAGGCAAGTTACTTGACCTGTTAGTGCCTCACTTTCTCATCTGTAAAATAAGAGTAATAAGAGTATCTATCTTACAGATTGGGCTTTAGCATGTAATTGCTAGGTGAGGCAGTGGCCTCTTGCCATATGTTTTGGAAAACTTCACTTAGCCCTGTCTACATGATTCAAGGTTAGAATGATCATTGGTTTTGTTGACATATTAACTCCTTCAGGAAAGGAAGGGAACTAGATTTCGTTGACAGACTACTCTGCTCAGACACTGTGCTCTCTTGTATATCTCTGTATGAAATTGTTAGGACAACCTTATGGTAAGCTTCTCTGACAAATGACCCCAAAACTCTGAAGTCACAAGATGAAAGTTTTTTATGTTGACTAAGAATCTTTAGGGGCAAAAACTTAAGAATCCAGTTAGATGTGTTGCTAGAGAGAAGAGAATATATAAACTAAGTTTTAGGTGAATATTAAAGCATTTAAAAATTGTAACTAATGTACTCTTTATTCAAATATAAGAAAAATTCTTGGGGCAGTGCTTAACATTGTGGGCTTTTCTGGGCACAGTGACTCAGGCCTGTATCCCAGCAACTCGGGAGGCTGAAGTTGAAGAGCTCTTTGAGGCTAGGAATTTGAGACCAACCTGGGAAACATAGTGAGACTCTGTCTCTAAAAACAAAAAAAATTATCCAGACATGGTGTTACATACCTGTAGTCCCAGCTATTTAGGAGGCTGATGCAGAGGATTACTTGAGCCTAGGAGTTCAAGGCTGCAGTGAGCTACGATCATGCCCCTGTACTCCAGTCTAGGCAATAGAGTGTCTCTAAAAAAAAAAAAAGCATAGACTTTTGCAGTCAGCCAGTCCCACTTCTACTATTTGGGTCATTCTTCTGGTTGGCGATAGAGGAATGATGATTTCTATTTCACAGGGTTGTTATGGAGGTTAAATAAAATGCATGTATGGGTATTAATTATGTAAGAACCTAACTGGTAGGGTTTTCAGTAAATGATTTTTGGACCATAGATTAATTTGGGGAGGGCACAAAAATTGTTTTATTCTACTGATTCACCAAAATAAATCTCACAGAAACTGAATAATTATTATTATAAATGAAACATCATGGGAACATATGTGTTATTTTAGGATTAAGAACACCAAGAAGGGCCGGGCGCGGTGGCTCACGCCTGTAATCCCGCACTTTGGGAGGCCAAAGCGGGCGGATCACGAGGTCAGGAGATCAAGACCATCCTGGCTAACACAGTGAAAACCCCGTCTCTACTAAAAATGGAAAAAATTAGCCAGGCGTGGTGGCAGGCGCCTGTAGTCCCGGCTACTCAGGAGGCTGAGGCAGGAGAATGGCGTGAACCCGGGAGGCAGAGCTTGCAGTGAGCAGAGATAGCGCCACTTCACTCGTGTCTCAAAAAAAAAAAAAAAAAAAAAAACACCAAAAAGAAAAACCATGAAGAAAGTATTAATCAAAACGATACTATTAAGGGATTGGCCCAGTAGGCCATAGAAGGCAAGTTAAAAGGCTTTTCATTAGATTGGTAATAAATTTAAATAAAATAAAGCATCAAATACATGAAAATCTATGAATTAAAAATTATACTCAGAAAAACTCATCTATCACAATTAGAAATTGCTAGGGTATCAACTTCTTGCTCTGAAAATTGATAACTAAGTAAAAGAAAAAGTACTTACCTGCCTTTCCTGTACAAATTATATTTCTGAGGTTGTGAAAGAGTTGAGCGAAAATTATTTTTCATAAAATAATTGTAGTTATTGCACAAATAATATACATATTTTCAACAAACATTAAAAAATGAAGACAAGCCAGGCATGGTGGCTCATGTCTATAATCCCAGCACTTTGGGATTCTGTGGCAGTAGATCACTTGAGCCCAGGAGTTTGAGACCGGCCTGGGCAACATGATGAAACCCCATCTCTACAAAAAATTTAAAAATTAGTTGGACATGGTGGTGTGCGCCCATAGTCAGGAGGCTGGGAGGATCACTTGAACCCAGGAGGTGGAGGTTGCAGTGAGCTGAGAGCACACCACTGCACTCCAGCCTGGGCGACAGAGTGAGACTCTGTCTCAAAAGAAAGACAAATCGAAAGATCAGTATCTTACCTATATAGAGAGTTTTCAACTCCAGTAACGAAAAAGTGAAGAGAATAATGGGTAACTGATCTATTTCTTTTAATGTTTGTGTTTAACACAGTGCCTTTTAACACATTTAATTAACACAGTGTCTGGCAAAAGTTGGCATCTTAGGAAGTCTGTTCAACAATTCATTTGCCCTTTTTCCCCCCCTTCACTAGTATTCTTTATATTCCATACAAGTTTATAGTTTGTATAGTAAGTTTTAGAAATTGTACTCAGGAGGCTGAGGCAGGGAGGATCACTTGAGGCCAGGAGTTCAAGACCAGCCTGGGCAACACAGCAAGACTCCATGTCTAAAAATGAAAAAACGAGCCAGGCATAGCAGTGCACACCTGCAGTCTCAGCTGCTCAGGAGGCTGAGGCAGGAGGATCACGTCAGCCCAGAAATTTGAAAATGCAGTGAGCTATGGTCGTGCCACTGTACTCCAGTCTGGGTGACAAAGGGAGACCTTGTCTCTTAAAAAAAAAGGAACATATACGGCTGGGCGCGGTGGTTCACGCCTGTAATCCCAGCACTTTGGGAGGCCGAGGTGGGTAGATCACGAAGTCAGGAGATCGAGACCATCTTAGCCAACATGGTGAAACCCCATCTCTGCTAAAATACAAAAAATTAGCTGGGCGTGGTTACATGTGCCTGGAATCCCAGCTACTTGGGAGGCTGAGGCAGGGGAATCGCTTGAACCCAGGAGGCGGAGGTTGCAGTGAGCTGAGATCATGCCACTGCACTCCAGCCTGGTGACAGAGCGAGACTCCATCTCAAAATATATATACACATATGTATAAACATTTCTTAAGAAATATACCTGATGTTTTTAAACTTGTATTTTCCTCAAGAAATTTCTGAAAGCTCAGAGCCCTTTAACTTTCCAGGTTTCATTTATCATGCTCTTCTTTTTCTTGGCATATCATAATCTATAATTGGATATTTCAGATTGAAAAAAATACTGATACCAATTCACAGAATTTTAATACCCTTCTTTTTAAAGGCTGAATCATGTCAGGGAGATTTAAGTACATTGGCCAGTGTGGTTACATCATTAGCGAATCTTGGAAAAACTAAAGATCTTTCTCAAAATAGTAATGAAATGTCTATGATTGAAAGCTTAAGCAATGATGATACCTCTTTGTGTGAATTTCAAGAAATGCAGACCAACGGTGATGTTTCAAGGTAAGATCTCTTTTGATTATCAATGTCCTTTTGTTTACATGCCTTTCAGTATTTCTTAAAACATTTTTATGTTAAATGCTATTTATAAAAGTTTCAGAAAACAAATACAGGTTGATTATCCCTTATCTGAAATGCTTTGTTCAGACCAGAAACATTTCAGATTTCAGATTTTGGAATGTTTGCATTACTCTGGGTACCATGCAGGCCTTTCTGACCTTTTCAAAAATATCTTTACACCACAAAGAAGAGAATATGCAAAAATCCACAGTGAGTAATGCACATAGATCTTGGCTCCTTATGGGGAATCAGGGGAACCTGCCATTGGCACGTCTGGCCTGTAGTGGGCGTGCTTGCTTGGGGGAATCTGGGCGTGTGCAGAAAAGATTTATCTCAGCTGGGAGGGTCTTTTTTCCCTTTTGGACAGGGAATAAACTGTTATACACCTGCATTTTGACTGCAACCCATCATGAGAAGTCAGGTGTGAAATTTCCACTTGTGGCATGTTGGTGCTCAAAAAGTTTCCGATTTTAGAGCATTTTGGATTTTAGTATTAGGAATCCTTAACCTACATTTCTGTTTTCACTTAGAAAAATTAAGGCATAGTAAGTTTTAACTGAAAACTTGCATTCAGTATGACAAATTATATTCTAAATGACAAAATCAATGAATATTAGAAGATGAAACATGTAGTCTTAAAACTTAGGAATTTTCTTCTTCTAAAGATGAAGATGTGTATGGAGAGTGAAACATTTGTCATTCTCAGCAATCATGTTGATCCTACTCCTCAATTTCTAGTGATGAAAATTAATGTAAAAGATTTAGTCAACTACAGTTTTAAGTTACACTTGAAGAAAGCAGTATCAGAATTCTGTTTTTTATTCTGTAAATACTAATGCTTAGGATATAGAAACAATTTATTCAGGCTTTTCCTACACTGAGTTTATCATTTAAAATATGAATAAGCTGAACACATTAGTGTATAGGAGGCTGAGGTGGGCAGATCACTTCAGCCTGGGATTTTCAGTCAACCAGCAACTAGACCCAATCTCTAAAGGAAAAAAAAGATACGATAAAAATACACTGAATTGGCCAAGTGTGCTGGCTTACGCCTGTAATCCTACCACTTTGGGAGGCCAAGGTGGGTGGATCACCTGAGTTCAGGAGTTTGAGACCAGCCTGGCCAACATGGTGAAACCCCATCTCTACTAAAAATGAAAAAAATTAGTTGGGTGTGGTGGTGCATGCCTGTAATCCCAGCTACTTGGGAGACTGAGGCAGGAGAATCACTTGAACCCCGGAGGTAGAGGTTGCAGTGAGCTGAGATCATGCCACTATACTCTAGCCTGGGCGACAGAGCGAGACTCTTTCTCAAACAACAAAATATATATATTGAATAAACTACATTTAAGAGTCACAATAAGTAGTACTTGGTTGAACATGAGATTTCAAGAAACTCTAGGAGGCCTATTGAAAAATATGGGGAACTATTTTGAGTAATTATTTAGTAACATTAGTTATTATTCTATTATCAAATTGTTACAGTTTAGATTTAGCTGTGTGACCACACATTTTAAAATACTCTCTGCCCAGGTGCAGTAGCTCCTGCCTGTAATCTCAGCACTTTGGGGGGCTCAGGTGGCATGACTGCTTGAGTCCAGGGGTTGGAGACCAGCCTGGGCAACATAGTGAGGCCCAATTTCTACAGATAATTTAAAAGTTAGCTGAGCATGGTGGTGCGCACATGTAGTCCCAGCTACTCGGGAGGTTGAGGTGGAAGGATCACTTTCTTGAACCCAGGAGTTCAGGATTACAGTGAGCCATGATCATGCCACTGCACTCCAGCCTGGCTGACAGAGGGAGAACGTGTTTCAAAAATAAACATGAGTAAAGTAAAATGCTTTCTGAATTTTTAAATAAAATTTAAGACCTATTGTACTGTGCATAATAAACATAAGTTCTTTTCCTTGTTCTAAGTAACTTTTGTATACAAAATAAATAGACTAATAGTCTTGTAGTATCAAAAATATAATGTTTTTTAAAAATAATTCATTAAGAAGAATTTTGTTTAATTGAGACAGGGTCTTGCTGTGTCAACCAGGCTAGAGTACAGTGGTGTGATCATAGCTCACTGCAGCCCTGCCCTCCTGGGCTAGAGCAATAAAAATATATAACTTTTAAAAGCATATTATTGTATGAAAATGTGAAGATGTTTCTCCCCCTTAATTATACAAGATTTTAAAAAGAGACTTTAGGCCAGGCATGTGGCTCATGCCTGTAATCCCAGCACTTTGGAAGGCTGAGGCGGACATATCACTTGAGTTCTAGACCAGCCTGACCAGTTTTTTTAGGCTTAAATCTTAATTCTAGAATCCTATGTAGAATTGTTATTTTATTGTGGTGTTTGGTCAAGCTCACAGCTTCTGATATCTTCATACAGGGCATTTGACACTCTTGCAAAAGCATTGAATCCAGGAGAGAGCACAGCCTGCCAGAGCTCAGTAGCAGGCATGGAAGGAAGTGTACACCTAATCACTGGAGAATCAAGCATAAATTACACCGAAAAAGAGGGACCACTTCTCAGCGATTCACATGTAGCTTTCAGGGTATTTCTATATGTTTTTTTTAACTTGCATGTTGTATTGCTTGATTTTGATCTACCTTTCAAAAATCAAAGTATGTTTGTTGTGCTTTTGAAGTCAGAACTATCCCTGATAGAATTTCAAAACAGCAGCTAAAACATACTCATCTGGGCCAGGCACAGTGGCTCACACCTGTAATCCCACCACTTTGGGAGGCCCAGGTGGGCAGATCACCTGAGGTCAGGAGTTCGAGACCAGCCTGAGCAACACGGAGAAACCCTGTTTCTACTGAAAATACAAAAGTAGCCATGCGTGGTGGCGCATGCCTGTAATCCCAGCTACTCAGGAGGCTGAGGCAGGAGAATTGGTTGAACCTGGGAGGCAGAGGTTGCAGTGAACTGAGATCACGCCATTGCACTCCAACCTGGGCAACAAGAGCGAAACTCTGTCTTGAAAAAGAAAAAAACTCATCTGCATATAGAAACAAAAATTTTTTAGGCTTTTCTCTGCTGTTGATTATCAAGATACTGAATAAGCTGGGCATGTTAGTGTGCATCTATGCAGGAGGCTAAAGCCTTATGTAGGTAAGATAATGGCTTAATAAAGCATCCTGTTATTAAGTCAGTTATAATAGCAGTTATTGGGTTTAAATCTATAAATGTTAGCTTTTATAACTTTTCAGCACATTTTATTAAACTTTTAAGTATTGGCATTCATGATGTGTTGAATGGACTGCTTTTGTTCAATGCCTAGCTACTACTATATTGTAAATCAGTAAGAACCAGATAGTTTGTTCTTACCATAGTAATTACAGAAAACTCCATTTGTTATGTATCACCTTAATTAGCTGGCTTCCAGCATTATTATAAGATACCAATTGGCCAGGTGCAGCTGCTCTCACCTGTCATCCCAGTACTTTGGGAGGCAAAGGCCAGAGGATTGCATGAGCCCAGGAGTTGGAGACTAGCCTGGGCAACATGCCAAGACCTCATCTCTATTATAAATAAAAATTACATAATAAAATTTTAAAAGATACACATTTAATATATTTTAACTTTTAGTTGTTAAGTTATATTTTTTAGCCATTTTGGAGAAGGTACATTTATAATTTATTTTGTTCCCATAAATAATTGTGGGTTTTGCCATTACTTTTAAGGCTGCAATTACTTTTTCACCAACTTAACTTTTTATGACAGAAACAATACATGCAGAATACTAGATATAATACATGTAGAAGACTAGAAAATCACTTTCTACCCTTTGATTTGTCATTCAAATAATGCTTGGACAGAGTTTTAGCCATGCTCACTGTGGAGACCCTACATTAAGATCCTGTTGTTTTGACTCCTCCATTTTAACCACTCAGCTGTGGATACTGTTAGCAAGATGTATGCAAAGGGATTGAATGCATATAGATTTCACTTAGCAATATATAGTAGTCCTGGAATACCTGAGGGTGACTGCTCATTTTACTATAGATTATAAAATTCCATGGATTTTTTTAAGGAGAATATGTACAGCTATCAAATAAATATGTGTATCAGTAGAAATTATGAGTGCAAAGTAATATTTGTATTTTAAAAATTTGACTTGGTAGAAATAGCCGCAGAGAAACTCTTTGGCTTAAAATAGTGTAATTTGATGTAGTCAATAAAATATATCAGTGAAGCCTATTTTTATGTAAAATTTTACCAAAGATAATTTACATGGAAAAAATTAGAAATGTTTTTTTCTACACTCTACAGGAAAATTTTTTATAAGTGCTATAAGAAAAAGTAATTGGAATAATATTCTAAAAAATTATGGTAAGATTTATGGACAAGGGTGGAGCAAGGCAAAAGTTGATTTTTTCCCATTGTTCTTTCTTATTCTAGATAAAAGACATTCTTTTGTTTTCTTAGGTTTATGTTCTGCGTTGGATTTAAATGGGAAGAAGGAAGAAATGAGACAGTTGTAGGAACAGGACCCACTATGAGGGAAAAAGGACAGAGTGCTCTTTAGAAAGTAGGGGTAGTTTACCTGTTTATTGTTGATGTTAGTCCTCAAAGTTTTTGATTCCTTGAAATGTTTTGGAGAGAAGAATCTGGCAAATTACAACTTTTTTTTCTTCCTAGGATTGGCTTTTGTCATTCCATCTTTGTCTTCCTAAGTATCCTCACAGTCAGCACTGTAAATTTTCTTACTCTCCTTAAAAGGACCGCTTCACCTTTCTCGGAGTCTTACTTACAGCCTTGTGAAGTCAAATGTTTTACTTTTCAGTGATTTCCCTGCTTAGCTCCTAGAGTCTGGTAATTTCATGGTTCTCACATTGAAGTTTTCTGGTCATGGGTTTCAAGACCCTACATCTGTAATCAAACAACTCAATCCTCTCTTACTTGCTGAGCTGAATAGCATTTTGTTCCTCTGTTGCATTTCTATGTACACTGTAGTTTGCAGCATATTTTCACGTACACTCTTTTCTTTGGGCCTCACCACATATGTTGAGGTTAGAATTTTTAATTTTTTTTTCTTTCTTTTTGAGATAGGGTCTCACTCTCACCCAGGCTGGAGTGCAGTGGCATAATCACAGCTCACTGCAGCCTTGACCTCCTGGGCTCAAGGGATCCTCCTGCTTCAGCCTTTCATGTTGCTGAGACCATAGGCATGTGTTACCACACCCAGCTAATTAAAAAATTTTTTTTTGTAGAGATGGGATCTCACTTTGTTGCCCAGGCTTGTCTCATACTCCTGGCCTCAGGCGATCCTCTCACCTCAGCCTCCCAAAGTGCTGGGATTATAAGCATGACCCACCATACCTGGCAGGGTTAGAATTTTTATTCTCATTTGATGGATGAAGAAAGAGATGTAGAGATTTTTAGTGTCTTGTTCAAAGCAATCTTGATAGTAAGGAGAAGTAGTCTAATAATGAAACTTGAAGTTTGATTTTGAAAAATCAAGGACAATAGTAATATTTAAGATTTTTATTGGCCAGGCGTGGTGGCTCATGCCTGTAATCCTAGCACTTCGGGAGGCCTACGCGGGAAGATCACCTGAGGTTAGGAGTTGGGGACCAGCCTGACCAACATGACAAAACCCCGTATTTACTAAAAATACAAAAATTAGCCAGGCGTAGTGGTACATGCTCATAACCCCAGCTACTCAGGAGGCTGAGGCAGAAGAATTGCTTGAACCCGGGAGGCGGAGGTTGCAGTGAGCCAAGATTGCATGGCTGCATTCCAGCCTAAGTGACAGAATGAGACTCCATCTTTAAAAAAAAAAAAAAAGAAAGAAAAAGATTTTTATTAAGCTTCATAATTTTTGGTATGATTTCATGTACTTTGTTTCACTTGATTCTTAAAATCTCCTTAGAAGAATAATCATGGTAGATCATATTCCCATTTTAGAAATTGTATATATACAACAGAAGTGAAGTGGTTTTGGAAATTGCATATACTTATTTCTAAAATTTTATTATCTTCATATTAGAATCAGTCTTTCTGGTCACCCATGTTTGCAACTTTAGAGGAAGTTATTCTCCCTAAGCCTCACTCCTCTCATTCCATAACTGAATTTTAACCATTCTATTGCTTGAATTTTTTCCCTTTTCATTTCCTTCACCGTATTTCAGGCCTTTTAAAATTCCTTTCTTGATTTGTTACCCTAATATATTTGCTTCCAGTCTTTCTTTTCCATCTTGTCCTGTGTGCTGGTACCAGCGTTACATTTGTTAAAAATCAAATTATGTCACTCCACTACTTACCATCCTTCAGTAGCTTCCCATTGCCCATGTTATGAAATTAAGTCCAGTCTCTCTAACTTGACCTTTTAGGGTCCTCCACGTTCTGACCCAGCTGCCCATCATTTCTCACACATGCCATTAGCTTTCTTAGCCCTTTCTATAGCTTATTCAGTTTTTATTTTATTCTTCCACTGAGACAGTAGCACTTACTGCTTCCCAGTGAACTCTAAGTAAATAGTTACTGAATAAATATGTAATCTAGGGTCATACTGGTAATTAGGCGAAGTGATTAATGAAAAGTCAAGAGCAGAATCCAGATCTCCTGACTCAAATGCTTTTTTTATATTTGTGTGGAGATGGGGTTTCACTGTTTTGCCCAGGGTGGTCTCAAACTCCTGGCCACAAGCAATGATCTTCCCACCTCAGCCTCCCAAAGTGCTGGGATTGTAGGCCTGAGCCACTGTGCTTGTGCTCAGCCTCCAAGGATTTTTTTTTTTTTTTTTTAAAGACCAGCTCTGTAGCCCAGACTGGAGTGCAGTGGTGTGATCTCAACTCACTGCAGCCTCTGCCTCCCAGACTCAAGCCATCCTCCCACCTCAGCCTCCTGAGTAGGTGGGACTACAGGCATGCACCACCACTCCCAGCTGATTTTTTTTTTTTTTTAAATACAGACGAGGTTTCATCATGTTGCCCATGCTGGGCTCTATGTTACTCACGAATGATCCGCCCACCTCGGCCTCCCAAGGTGCTGGGATTATAAGCTTAAACCATCACACCCGGCCATGCAGTGATTTTTCAAAAGCTATGTCAGCCGAGCGCGGTGGCTCACACCTGTAATCCCAGCACTTTGGGAGGCTGAGGCGGGTGGATCACAAGGTCAGGAGTTCAAGACCTGACCAACATGGTGAAACACCGTCTCTACTAAAAATACAAAAAAAAAAAATTGGCTGGGCGTGGTGGTGGGCACCTGTATTCCCAGCTACTCAGGAGGCTCAGGCAGGAGAATCGCTTGAACCTGGGAGGCGGAGGTTTCAGTGAGCCAAGATAGCACCACTGCACTCCAACCTGGGTGACAGAGTGAGACTCCATCTCCAAAAACAAAAAAGCTATATCATGCAGGCTGTTACAAGATTTCAGTACAGAAACTGCTAGAAAGATATGTAGAGGCATCTAATAACTTGTAAAATAGATTGGTCAGGTTTAGTTCTTGTCAATGCTCTTTAAAAATTCAGCTCAGTATATTGAACTTTTCTAATTTCAAAAATGTGTGTAATTCGATTTATAAACCTAAAGATCTACAGGCATTTTGGGGAAGCTCACTCTCTATATATGTAGGAATAAATCTTTGTCTTTTCGGTCTCAAAGACTTGTTAAATGGACTATTGTTTCTTCAGCCAGCGTTAGCTTTCTGATTCAGAATACTAGAGTTTTATTGAGCATGTAAAACAGATAGATTATGAAACATTTTCTCTCTATAAGTTAACTCAACATGGTGTGTCTAGTAATATTTTAAATAATGAGTCCCTTTAGTGTGTGTTGTAAACTATTTCCATTTTATGATTAAAGCAGCAGAAAGTTTTCAGAGTTACCACCACTGTTGTGTAAAGCAAAACCATTATATACAGTGTTTACACATTACAAGTATTAACATTTAAGTGCAATTTTAAACTATTTTGCAAAGGATTTTTGTTTTGTTTCATTTTGTTTTTTGAGACAGAGTCTTGCTCTGTCTGCCAGGCTGGAGTACAGTGGCATAATCTTGGCCCAGTGCAACCTCCACCCCTGGGTTCCAGCTATTCTCGGCACTTCAGCCTCCCGAGTAGCTGGGATTACAGGCGCACACCGCCATGCCCAGCTAATTTTTTGTATTTTTAGTAGAGATCTGGTTTTACCTTGTTGGCAGGCTGGTCTTGAACTCCTGACCTCAAGCGATCTGCCTGCCCTGGTCTCCCAAAGTGCTGGGATTACAGGCCTGAGCCACCATGCCCATCCCTACAAAGGGCTTTTTTGTTGTTGTTTTGCATCTTAGTTGCCCCTTCCCCCCAAAACTAGTAATTTTTGGTAATTCCCTTACTTTTTCAGACTTTCTTTTTACTCACCTTGGGTAATTCTGAAAATATATGATATACTGTGTTTTTTAAGATGTGGTCTTGCTCTCTCACCCAGGCTGGAGTTCAGTGGCACAATCCTGGCTCACTTCAGCCGCTACCTCCTGGGCTCAAGTGATCCTTCTGCCTCAGTCTGCTAAGTAACTGGGATTATAGGTGCACACCACCATGCCCAGCTAATTTTTTTATTTTTAGAGATGAGGTCTCACTGTGTTTCCCAGGTTGGTCTCAAAATTCCTAGGTTCAAGCAGCTCTTCCACCTCAGCCTCCCGAGCTGCTGGGATACAGGTGTGAGCCATCACACCTGGTTAAATTTTTAATTTTTTTTTTTTTTTTCTTTTTTTGTAGATATGGGTCTTGTTATGTTGCCCAGGCTGGTCTTGAACTACCGGCTTCAAGCAATCCTCTCACCTTGGCCTCCCAAAATGCTGGAATTACAGGCACGAGCCACTGTGCCCAGCCAAGAATTGTCTTAAATAATTGTATTTTAACTTACTGCTGTGATAAACCTTTCTCAAACATTCTTAAATATGTAAAAAATTTTCTTCTCACTTGGCAGAATTTCAACTATTAATTGTCCTTTTCTTTTATCACTTGGTACCAATATAGGTAAACCATTCTTGGCTAATAATGAACAAAGGCAGGATTTTTTTTTACATTTTTATCTAACTTTTCTTTGTTTCAAACCTCAAGCCTAAATTTTAGATAGAAGATACCTTTGAGGGGCCAGGTGCGGTATTTTAGCTAGAAGATACCTTTGAGGGGCCAAGTGCAGTGGCTCACACCTGTAATCCCAGCACTTTAGGAGGCCAAGGCAGGCTGATCACCTGAGGTCAGGAGTTTGAGACAAGCCTGGCCAACGTGGTAAAACGTTGGTAAAACCCTGTCTCTACTAAAAATACAACAAAATTAGCTGGGTTGGTGGCACATGCTTGTAGTCCCAGCTACTGGGGAGGCTGAGAAAAGACACTCACTTGAACCCTGGCAGACAGCTGAGATCACACCACTGAACTCCAGCCTGGGTGACAGAGCGAGACTTCATCTCAAAAAAAAAAAAAAAAAGATACCTTTGAGAATCTGATGAAAGCCATAATAGTCATTCCCTAGAAAAATGAATGTGGGCACATCTACCTACCCCACCCAGAGGTAGCCACTGTTAACTATGTGACGTGTTTCCTTCTGTACTTTCTAGGTATACATAAATATGTGCTCTTTAACATAAATTGGGTCATCTATTTAATACATACTGTTTTACAGTTTTTTCTACTTGGATGTCTGTGAGATTTTTTGTATGCCATTACATCTCAGTTTATCTTTCCAATTTTAATGCCCACATATGTTCTATAACATGGATTATTCTTTTCTCTAGAGATAGAAATGTGGGTTGTTGCCAGCATTTAATTTCATTGTTAGATAATAGAGCTGCAATGGACATCCTTACACATGCTTTTTTGTGCGTGTATGCAAGTATTTTGCTGGAACAGAGATTTAGAAGTGGTACTGCATGTACTTTAACAATTTTAGTAGATAGTAGACTAATTGTTCTCCAGATTACCCCACGCTCGGTAGTGTGTACCCAGTTTTCTGTATCCTCACTATACTTGATACTATTGATCATTTCAGTAATTACAAAGTAGAAAAATTTTCAACAGTGGTCAGACATTTTAAAGAACTGGATCAGCAATATAAACTGACCACTTGCTAGTAGTATGTCTACAGGCATACCTGTAATTTTTAAAATATATTTTTTTTAATTTAGTACCAGTTTGGGTTTTTTTGGGTTTTTGTTTGTTTGTTTGTTTTGAGATGGAGTCTTACTCTGTCACCCAGGCTGGAGTGCAGTGGCACTATCTCGGCTCACTGCAACCTCCACCTCCCTGGTTCAAGTGATTCCCCTGCCTTAGCCTCCCGAGTAGCTGGGACTACTCACCACGCATGGCTAAATTTTTTTTGGTATCTTAGTAAAGATGAGGTTTCAATATGTTGGCCAGGATGAGCTCGATCTCTCGACATTGTGATCCACCCGCCTCCGCCTCCCAAAGTGCTGGGATTACAGGCACGAGCCACCATGCCCGGCCTGCCAGTTTTTTTAAATAGGGAGGTTTCACACAGAATGTGCTCTTTGAAAAACTGAAAGAGCTGGCAGTGCTGAGCCCACAATTCAATATGTTTTCACTGCACTGAATTCAATTCACAGCTGTACCCTTTATCCGGGAGTAAATATGCTCTTCCCAGTTGGTACAAGCAAGCCTGTTGCACTCCTTACTCTCCTGGTCTTGTAAGCATTTTAATTTGTTAACCCCTTACCCTAAATGAAAGAAACATTTAGCGGACAGGATTTTTCCTTAAACTGAATTTGTTGTATGCTATCATTAATAGAGAGAAAGAAGGAAAAGAAACACATTGTTAGACCAAGACAGGAAGTAACATAACCAGATAATATCATAGTTGATATTTATTGAGGTTCTGCTTGTCTGAATATTGGCTTGTCAGAAACTATGGGCTACTTATTTATTCTAAGCCCTGTTAGCTGTAAATTCTAGTGACTTGGATTATTTCAAGATTAGCTTTTTTCATGAATATATTAGCTCTCATTTGATGTGTTATGTTTACATTCAACTTTTTCAAAGAAATGATGATTTAGAACTTTTCAGTCATAAGATAATTTACCTAAATCCCTGTTCATACTAGCTCACCATGCCTTCTCCTATGCCTGAGTACCTGAATGTGCACTACATTGGGGAGTCTGCCTCCAGACTGCTGTTCTTATCAATGCACTGGGCACTTTCGATTCCTTCTTTCCAGGCGCTAGGGTGAGTGTTTTGAAATCTTGACTATGAATGTGATTTTGTAGCACAAATGTACATTAAACAAAACTTTTATTTTGGGAAGATTTGCATTAAAGGATAAAACAGTATAACATTATAGCTTCAAGTTGGGTCATTCATATGACAAATCATGGCAGCTAACTAGTATTTTCTTTGTATTTATGTGGAAGAGTATCCATATTTTGTAGTTTGACTAAGTTAAGAATTTGGATGGAACAGAATCAGTAGAATTGATAGATTATGGCTAGCATTTGTAACAGGCCTTTCATTGGCTCATAGATACAGAGACTGTAAGACTGCCCTAGGTTCTTGTTTTTCTCTCATCACTACTATTTCAGTGTTCATCCCAGGCATGTTACTAAAGAGCTGAATTTTGCCTACAGTGGTTATGTTAAAAGTATAATTGTTTTCCAATCATGCGGTTCAAAGAAAAAAAAAGAAAATGTAAACCCCCATAGTACCACTACAGTGACTTAGAGGGTTAGTCTTACCACTCAAGAGTACATCTGAAGCTGGGCATGGTAACTAACACCTGTAATCCCAGCATTTTGGGGGGTCAAGGCAGGAGGATGGCTTGAGGCCAGGAGTTTAAGACCAGCTTGGGCAACAGAGCGAGACCCTGTCTCTACAAAAAACAAAATGTTTTAATTAGCTGGGCATGGCGATGCACACTGGTAGTTCCAGCTACTCTAGAGGCTAAGGGGGGGCCAATCACTTGAGCCCAGAAGTTCGAGGCTGAAGTAAGCCATTATCACATGGCTTACTGCACTCCAGCATGGGACGGAGCTAGACCCTGTCTCTTAAAAAGAAAAAAAAAGAGTATATCTATATTCTGTTCTGAAGAAATCAGATGAGATAGAAAATGGCCTACTGTAAGAAACTCAAGCTTTACCTAAAGTTTGCCAAATTTATTTAAATTGTTTTAAAATAACTGGTGTGTTTAAAGGCAAAAAATGGAAAAAGTTAAGCCCATAGTTAGAAAGTTTTTATTCAAAGTTAGAAAGTTTTTATTCAACTCCTCGGACCCTACTCACCAATATGATTTTGTAAACAATTCACTTTCACATCCTGTATACCTGTACTTCTGTTTACCAAGTGGGAATAATAATTGCCCACCCCTTATCCTTAGAGACTATTTTGAATATAACAAACGTGAACATGGTTGTAAAAGGCATACAGAGAATTGAATAAAGGTATATTTATCATTATAATTTGGTTTATTAATCAGCATTATACTATGCATTAAATCATGCTCAAGATATTATAGTTACATAGACTAAAAGCTTGATTTAGAATGGTTAACCTTTAAAATGATGGTCAGTCCTTTTTTAACATACAACTTTCAGAATTTCTCTAGTTTTGTGGGGGTTTTTTTGTTTAAGAGATGAGTTCTTCCTCTGTCATTGAGACTGATCTGAAACTCCTGGGCTCAAGTGATCCTCCTGCTTTAGCCTCCCATACAGGCGTGCACCACCTCGTTGTTTGTAGAAAAAAGGTAATGTAAATTTGCATATTGGCAGTTGATTTTTTAATTTAGTTGGGAGTCTTTTTTCTGCTTTGTAATTACTGAAATGATCAATAGTATCAAGTATAGTGAGGATACAGAACACCAAGTACACACTACCCAGGGTGAGGTAATCTGGAGAACAATTAGTCTATTATCTACCAAAATTTTTAAAATAAGTACTTATACTGGAGTGCGTAGCATGATCTCGGCTCACTGCAATCTCCACCTCTCAGGTTCAAGCAATTCTTATGCCTCAGCCTCCTGAGTAGCTGGGACTACAGTTGTGCACCACCAAGCCCAGCTAATTTTTGTATTTTTAGTTGAGATAGGATTTCGCCATGTTGGCCAGGCAGGTCTCAAACTTCTGACCTCAAGTGACCTGCTCACTTCGGCCTCCCAAAGTGCTGGTGTTATAGGTGTGAGCCACTGTGCCTGGCCAGCAATTGATTAATTTTAAAATATTAAGTGTAGTTCACTCATCTTGTAACTCACATTCATATGTCTAAAAAGTAACCTGGTGACATTTTTCATAATAAGCTATCAGTTATAATAAAACAACAAAAGGGAGGAATTTTGGGGAGTGGTTTGAACTCGTTGAATTATTTACACCACCATTGATCTTAAGTACTTCTATTAAATTGAGTATAATTATCCTATGGAAATAACGCAGATGTTGAAGAAACCAAAAATAAGGCTTCAGGAAGTGTCTGTTTATGAAATAAGTCATTTTTATAGCAGTAGCCACATTTTCCTGTGATCTGTATTGAGAATCAGTTTCAATGTAACCACCACAAGATTCTTTGTAATTAGAATAACTTGATCTAGCAATCAAGACCATTATGCAAACTCTTATTTTTTATCCCTGTCTAGATGATTCATAGATCTTATTTATGTGTTGACTTAATCATACGGATATAATGATGGAAAAATTCTGTTATATGGAAATAAAAGCTATTCTAAAAGTAGAAACTGACATTAGGTTGCATTTTTATCTAAAAATATAAAAGTTGGTGACAAAATTCTGATTTTACAGAGAGAAACAGATAAGCAACATTAATCATTTTCCGAAATCAAGATTGTTTTGATCACTTACTTTAATTCAAGGCAACAGTAACTTAAATAATTTTACTCAACAGTGCATGGTTAGCAGCTTTGTATTTTACAAGGCTTCTGTATTTTACAAAGGTATTGATTTTCTGTTTTAAGATTTGTAGTTTCAGTACTTTAGTAATTCAGTTGTGGTTTTAAGTTTTCCCTGCAAAATTTAGGTTAAGTGAATAGTGGTAGATTCCACTGCGGGGTAGTGGAGAGTACTTGTCATGATTTGCCTGGAGTAAGTATAGCAGCAGTCATCTCTACCTAGATTCTTACAATATAACCAAAGCTCCAAGCCACCACCATTTACCACAGGCGACTTTATTTATTGAATAATGTAATCAGTAGCTTTCCATTAAATGCTAAGCCAGAAAGCTGAATCTTTTACCACTGAAAGATAATGTAATGTTTCCTGTAACTTTGTGGTTTTGAAACCTGTAATTTTTTGGGTTCATTGCCGTATCACTGATACTTTTCCCTGAGGACTGGTGCCTTCAGTATTACCAGATATAAGTGACTCAAAAGTTATATTCCTTTATGAAAGTAAATAGTATAAACAATTATATAACCTCTAATTGTGAGTCCTATATACGTATTTTAATGAATATTAACAAGGTAGGCCAGGTGCAGTGGCTCATACCTATTATCTCAGCACTTCGGGAGGCCAAAGCAGGCAGATCACTTGAGGCCAGGAATTCAAGACCAGCCTGGCCAACATGGCAAAACCCTGTCTCTACTAAAAACTCAAAAATTAGCCGGGCATGGTGGCAGCCGCCTGTAATCCCAGCTACGTGGGAGGCTGAGGCAGGAGAATCACTTGAATCCAGGAGATGGAGGTTGTAGTGAGCTGAGATCATGCCACTGCACTCTAGCCTGGGTGACAGAGGGAGACTCCACCTCAAAAAAAAAACAAAAACAAAAAAGTAAACCCACAATATAGTGTAGTAGTTAGAGAAAAATACCTGTACCTATTTGTAAAAGAAATTAACATCTTTAGTGTTTTGCAAGTTAATGCTTTTTTAAAAACTAGAGATGGAGGTCTCACTATATAGTCCAGGCTGACCTCGAACTCCTTGCCTCAAGCAATTCTCCCAACTCAGCTTCCCAAAGTACTGGGATTACAGGCATGAACCATCATATCTGGCCTTTTTTTTTTTCTTTTTAACCTCAACACTTGTGTTGCTTTCTAGATGCCTTAGTGATAACCTTAACTACAGTCTCTACTCAGCTCTTTTTGCTTCTTAAAGGAAAGATGTTTTGAACATAAAGTACAACATTTATTTTCCTAACAGGAAAAACTGGTAGCAAACATGCCCTTAACATCCCAAAATATTAACGTTAAATGGAGGAGTCTCTACTGAGAAATTTGACTTTTGCATTTTACTTGCTAAATTGTGTAAGGAGGTATAAAGGAGCAAAAAGATTCAAATTCTGTTTTTATGCATCTGCTGGCTTTTGTGTCTTTGGACCAAGTAACCTAAATGAGGCTCAGTATCTGTAAATTAGGAGCAGAAATACTTGATTATGAACTACATCACATAGGTGAGATAACGAATGTAAATGTATCTAAGCCATTGCCTACTGCTAAGTAGATAATAAAAGGTCATTTTCCTTCATTCCTTAAAGACCATCTTTTTAGAGTAGACTTGCTGTTTTTCTTTCCTAACATAATTGAACTTTAAAAAAAAAAATTTTGTTTATTTTTATTATTAATATTTTATTTTTTTATTTTTATTTTTTCAATTTTTTATTTATTTATTTATTTATTTTTGAGATGGAGTCTCGCTCTGTCCCCCAGGCTGGAGTGCAGTGGCCTGATCTCGGCTCACTGCAAGCTCTGCCTCTCAGGTTCACACCATTCTCCTGCCTCAGCCTCCCGAGTAGCTGGGACTACAGGAGCCCACCACCGCACCCGGCTAATTTTTTGTATTTTTAGTAGAGACAGGGTTTCACCATGTTAGCCAGGATGGTCTCGATCTCTTGACCTCATGATCCACCCACCTCGGCCTCCCAAAGTGTTGTGGGATTACAGGCGTGAGCCACCGCGCCTGGCCTCATAATTGAACTTTTTAAAAACATAACTAGCTATACCATCAGGGTTTTTGGTTTCGGGTTTGGATAAATGTAAATAGATACCTTTCTGTAGTTGGTTTCTACAGTCCTTTCACTTTTCTTTTAGAAACACAATAATCTGGTAGGTTATTTCTCATCTGCCACTTGTGTCTTTTTTCCTTAGTAATAATTTTGGTATTCTTATCCTTTGCACTTATACTCCTTTTTTTCTGAGCTTCTCCAACAATGCCAAGGTATTTTCTTATTACAAGATGCATAGCATAAGCCAGCTCTGATTTTTTTCCATTTATTTTTCCTTTCCTGTGTGTACTAGTAAACTACTTTGGTTAGCTGTTTCCTCCTTAAAACTTCAGAATCAGTTAAAAGTGAAACTGAATTTACTCTGACTTCCATCATGTTAGCTTTTAACTTTTTTTTTAATGTTTAAAGTAATAATTGAAGTATAGGATTATAAAGTAAAACCTCACTCACCAGAGGTAACTAACCCCACTATTAACAGTTTGGTGTCCTACTAGAATTTTTCCGTGAGATATTTATTAGACAATTAAATACATACACATATTTACACATCCTATTATTTGCCTTGCTTTTTACACTCATAGACTTCTTCCTATGTTAGTACATGTAGATTTACCCCATTTGTTCTCATGGCTTCTATTATAGTATTCCAGTTTATACACTTATTCATTCCTTATTAGTAGACATTTGGATTGTTGCCAGTTTTGTTATTATATCCAGTACTACAATGTGCATTTTGTGGCATTGTATATGTATTTTTGCCCACTTTTGTTAGTACAGTCATGTTAGTATAGGCATGCGTTGCTCATTTAACGATGGCTATGTAATCTGAGAAATGCATCATTAGGCAATTTTGTCATTGTGAACATCATAGAGTGTACTTACACAAACCTACTACACATCTAGGCTATATGCTATAGCCTAGTGCTCCTAGGCTACAAACCTAGGACAAACCTGCGTAGCGTGTTACTGTTCTCAATACCATAGGCAGTTGTAACACAATAGTAAATATTTGTGTATCTAAATATAGAGAAGTTTCCATAAAAATATGGTATTTTATTGTATATGTGGTACATTGTTGACTAAAATGTGCTGTGCATGACTGTATTTCTATAAAATAGTTTCTTAGAGGTGAAATTGCTGGGTCGAGAAGGTGTACATTTTAACTTTTGATGGGTACTTCCAAATTGTTCTCTGAAAAGATGTTGATCCAGTTTATGCTCACGTCAGCAGTGTATGAGGATCAGTGCTTATTTCCTCACCTCTTCCTCAATTCTGGATTTTATCCATCTTTAATGAAAATACTATCCTTTATTTTTATTTCCTTTGATTTTGTTTAAGATCGATATTTTTAACCCTTTTCTATATGAAGATTATAAAATACTGGTTTTCTTTGCATTTAAACTTTACTTTCAAATGATAGGCAGTGTCTCATGGCAAGTGATCCTTCTCGGATACTGAATGGGAAAGAGATCAGCCTGAAGTTAAAATTTCATATTAATAATTCTCAGAAAAAAACTTGCTGTGACTGAGTCGACAGTATTAGCATTTGTTTCAAGTATGTTCAATTATTTAATAAAATGTAATGTCATAAAGAAGGCTGTGATTCTTAACAAATGATTTCTGTTAAACACACTGATTATCCTAATTTTAAAGCTTTATTAAGGAGAAAAATAAAGAAGTACCATTCATTAGGTTGGACATGTTTCCTATCAGAATGTTCTTACCAACTTAAATCTCTCCAGAGATTTAAGGAAAGAAATCTTATAGTTTCATCATCTTATTTATAATAAAGTCTGTAGGTTTGGTTTAAAGATTGTTTAATTGTAAAAGACATATGCCCACAGCTCTTCTCTGTCTTTTCAAAGTTCTCACTTCTGCCTGTTCTGTACTCCCTAAGATCAGAAATCATTTGCAGAATTCTTTCTGTGTACCATGTACTGCACTGGTCACTGAGATCTAGAAATGCACAGGGAGTCTCCGCCTTCAGTGAGGATGCGTGTATGCATGACACTGAAGGGGGAATGATTAACTATGTTGAGAGAGGAATAATGTTCCTTCTAGAAAGTGAACTCTGAGCTGTATTTTAAGGGATCAGTAAGTATTAGCCAGGAAAACAAGACTAGGAAGGGACCTTCCAAGACAATAGGATAGCATTTAGTAATTCACTCAACAGTTTTTATTGAATACCTATTGTATGCTTGTTCTCACCTTAGCACATTTGCTCTTTTTCTCCCTGGGATACTATTCCCCTAGATCTTTCTGGTTTTTGGTTTTTTTGTTTAACTCTACCATCTTTCTCCACTCAAATGTCACCACCTCAGAAATGCCTTCTCTAACCACCTTACCTGAACCTTCCCATTTTCTAATATACATACTTTATAGTAATGCAGAATTTTTATTACCTAAAATTAATGTATATTATTCATATATATGTATATTATTTATATAAAATATTTGAAATTATATATTTGTTATTTCCCCTCTTTTTCATGAAGGCAAACTTAATCTCTTAATTGCTATTTCTCTAGTACCTGGCATATCCTTTCTCAAATTTTGTTCTGTTTTTGAGACAGGGTCTTCCTGTGCCAGGTTAGAGACTGGAATGCAGTGTCTCTTCACAGATGCAGTCATGGCGTGCTACCCCTTCAAACTCCTGGCTTCAAGCAGTCCTCCCACCTCAACCCTCCTGAGTAGCTGGGACTACAGGCATGTGCCACAGCACCCAGCTAATTCTCTCTTTTTTTTTTTTTTGAGATAGGGTCTCTGTCACCCAAGCTAGAGTGCAGTGGTGTGATCACAGCTCACCAAAGCCTCGACTTCCCCAGGCTTAGGTGATCCTCCCACCTCAGCCTGTGTGAGTAGCTGGGACTACAGGTGTGCACGTCCACACCCAGCTAATTTTTGTATTTTTTATAGAGATAGGGTTTCGCCATGTTGCCCAGGCTGGTCTGCAACTCCTGGGCTCAAGTGATGCATCTGCCTCAGCCTCCCAAAGTGCTGGGATTACAGGTGTGAGCTACTGCACCCAGCCCCAGCTAATTCTTACATTTCACCTCTTAATAACTCTGAGCAAGATATAGGACGTATAGTGTCTCTGCATTTTATATCATTAGACAACCTGAAACCTGGAAAGTTTATTTGCCTAATTTCAAATGGATAAGTAGGTTTAAACCATGGTGCTTTGACTCCTGTTTAATACTTTTTCTACTCTCTTATGCTGCTGAGATAACTTACTTAGAAATTCAGGAAAGAACTTTTGACCTTTCTAATCTCTAGTAAAATCCTGGATATCTCATTTATAGGGATTCTATTATCTCATCTGAAACATACAGTGAACCATTTTTCTCCTAAAATTGGTTGCTTGCCTACTATAAAATAATTCTAGAGGCTGGGAGCAGTGGCTCATGCCTGTAATCCCAGCACTTTGGGAGGCCAAGGCAGGCAGATCACCTGAGGTCAGGAGTTCAAGACCAGCCTGGTCAATGTGGCAAAACGCTGTCTCTACTAAAAATACAAAAAATAGCCGCATGTGGTGGTGCACACCTGTAATCCCAGCTACTGGGGAGGCTGAGGGAGGAGAATCGCTTAAACCCAAGGAGGCGGAGGTTGCAGTGAGTGGAGATCATGCCATTGCACTCCAGCCTGGGCGACAGAGCAAGACTCTGTCTCAAAACAGTAAAATAATTTGAATTGCGCTTTCTTTTAAAAGGTATTTACCTCTATCCAAAGCAAAAATTTTTTTAATATATGCTTTTGCTTTTTTTAAAGAACAATCTTTATTCCATTTCTATGAAATGTGAAGTTAAAGCCCCAACTCTTTTAGTTTGAAATATTACTTGCGGCCGGGCGCGGTGGCTCACGCCTGTAATCCCAGCACTTTGGGAGGCCGAGGTGGGTGGATCACGAGGTCAGGAGATCGAGACCATCCTGGCTAACACGGTGAAACCCCATCTCTACTAAAAATACAAAAAAATTAGCCGGGCGTGGTGGCAGGTGCCTGTAGTCCCAGCTACTTGGGAGGCTGAGGCAGGAGAATGGCGTGAACCCAGGAGGCGGAGCTTGCAGTGAGCCGAGATAGTGCCACTGCACTCCAGCCTGGGCGACAGAGCAAGACTCCGCCTCAAAAAAAAAAAAAAAAAAAAAAAAAAAAAAAAAAAAAAAAAAAAAAAAGAAATATTACTTGCAATTGTTCTTATAAACTGGCTGATTGATGAGCTACTATTTAAATGTCTAAGCATTCCTCATTTCTCATTTTGTTATCAGCTATACAAAACACAGACTTGATCAAATCTTTCTAGAGTAATTTTAGTTTAGTAATATGTTATTTTTAAATATTTGGACTAGCTGTAAGGTTTATAAAACTTGTTTAATAATATCTGATTTGTGCTTTTATTACTGTTTTTAATAGGCAAGAAAACAGCATATCACTGGTGAAAGCTTACTGGAATGAACTTTTTACTCTTGGTCTTGCCCAGTGCTGGCAAGTGATGAATGTAGCAACTATATTAGCAACATTTGTCAATTGTCTTCACAATAGTCTTCAACAAGGTAAAAAGCACCTTCCTTACTGCCTTTTCCAGGATGTAGAAGGAGGCATGAATTTCATTAAACGTTATGACTAAAGATAGTCAATAATCATTATGTTCATGTTTTAGGTACCATTGCTCTTGTTTAGATAATTTTTACAATTTTATAAATTTACCAATACTCTAAAAATGTTTTTTAAATAGAGTGCAAAAAAATTGAAAACAGTATGCTTAAGTCTGACAGGCTATTTCTGACCAAGTCAGTCTTGTGAATTTTTGTGCAGCTATCAAAGAATCCAGGGTGAGCTTATGTACAGGTGGTCAAATATTTTAAAACATATACTACTCGGCAATTTTTAAGCAACCTTTCTTTATTATAGTCCTTTGAATCCTAAGATAGGTTGATTTTATATCAATTCATCAGGGTGTATTCTCTCACCTAAATAGTTCTGAAGAGTCAGGGAACAATCCTTTTTATTCTGTTTTTCTGTTCCTAGAGGCCAAGGTATTTGCAGCCCTCATTCATTTCACAAGACGAGCAATCACTGATTCATAAGTGCTTAACTATAGAATGGCTTATGACTACCCAAAACAGTGCCCTATCAACAAATGGGGAAAATTGCCTTTTGAGCTCAGGAATAATTTATAAATTGGTGACTACCTTTTAGTTCCTTAGCATATTCTATCATTGTTTTATACAATTTTTAAATCATTTGCTTCCTCCTTATATTTAACAGCAGAGGGGTAATCACCTTAAAATGTCATCAAAAATAGATCTACTAGAAGGCAGCATCACATTCCCATCTTACTTATGGACTCCTACACCTGGTTCATGTCTTATATGCCTGTAATGGTTATAAAGCCTACCTTCAGGAAAGCTGTGGTTGACTAATTACTAATGGATGGGTTTTAAACATGTCCCTCTAAAATAAATTAAAGTCTTTATTGTAAAACTTTATTCTGCTTCAGTTTTTTTCTTCTTAACAGTGTTTTTACTAAATATTTGTTTTTATTACAGTAGTCTTGGTAGTGAAGTATGTAGATGGTTTTGCTCATTTTTTCCTAACCAACATAAACTTAAATAAAATCCTATTACCAAACTTTTGAGTGTTACGTACTTTTAGTTGTCTAGTGTTTCAGATGGTTATCTTTACATCCTATCTTCTCAAAGGTATATCTTGAAAGCAAACATTTCAGCCAGGTGGGGTGGTTCACGCCTGTAATTCCAGCACTTTGGGAGGCTGAGGTGAGATTGCTTGAGCCTAGGAGTTCGAGACTAGCCTGGACAACATTGTGGTACCCCACCTCTAAAGAAATTTTTTAAAAATTAACTAGCCATGGTGGTGCATGCCTGTAGTCTCAGCTACTTAGGAATCTGAGGCAGATGATTACTTGAGCCCAGGAATTTGAGGTTACAGTGAGCTATGACTGCACCACTATACCCTAGCCTGGACAACAGAGTGAGACCCATTTCTTTAAAAAAAAAAAAGGGCGGCAGGGGGTGGGCGCGGTAGCTCACACCTGTAATCCCAACACTTTGGGAGGTCTAGGAGGGTGGATCACGAGGACAGGAGTGCAAGACCAGCCTGGCAAACATGGTGAAACTCCGTCTCTACTAAAAATACAAAAAAAAATTAGCCGGGTGTGGTGGCAGGTGCCTGTAATCCCAGCTACTCGGGAGGCTGAGGCAGAGAACTGCTCGAACCCGGGAGGTGGAGGTTGCAGTGAGCCGAGATCACACCACTGCACTCCAGCCTGGGCAACAGAGCCAGATTCCATCTCAAAAAAAAAAAAAAAAAGGAACCATTACGTTTACATTTAGAGTTTTTTTTTTTTCGTTTTGGGTTTTTGTTTTTTTTTTTTTTTCGAGACGGAGTCTCGATCCGCCGCCCAGGCTGGAGTGCAGTGGCGCGATCTCGGTTCACTGCAAGCTCTGCCTCCCGGGTTCACATCATTCTCCTGCCTCAGCCTCCCGAGTAGCTGGGACTACAGGCGCCTGCCACTACGCCCGGCTAATTTTTTTGTATTTTTAGTAGAGACGGGGTTTCACTGTGTTAGCCAGGATGGTCTCGATCTCCTGACCTTGTGATCTGCCCGCCTCGGCCTCCCAAAGTGCTGGGATTACAGGCGTGAGCCACCGCGCCCGGCCTGTTTCTTTTTTTTTAACAAGCCAAGTAGCATAAACATTCAAATAATCCATTTTTTATATATAGTTTTTTCCCCAAAAGCAATTACCATGAGAAAATAATTCATTTTTTAAAAGTACTTTTACAACATCAAAATAATTGAGATGAAATATAAACCTGGCTGGGCACAGTGGCTCACTCACACTTTGGTAGGCTGAGGCAGGCAGATCACTTGAGGTCAGGGGTTCCAGACCAGCCTGGCCAACATGGTGAAACCCCATCTCTACTAAAAATACAAAATATAGCCATTCATGGTGGAGCGCACCTGTAGTCCCAGCTACTCGGGAGGCTGAGGTGGGAGAATTGCTTGAACCCAGGAGGTAGGGTTGCAGTGAGTTGAGATCGCACCACTGCATTCCAGCCTTGGGTGACAGACCAAGACCCTGTCTCAAAAAAATATATATATATAAACTTTTCTACTTAAAATGTTTATACAGATTATACTAACAGCTTGTTGTTCTTGAATGAACAATATCTTAAGATGGTTAGTTTTAGCCATAATTGCAGAAATACTGAATTTTAAACATTTCTACATTGGTTATACTCAAAGCTTGAAATTCATGAGAAGAAGGCCAGGCACAGTGGCTCACGCCATAATCCCTACACTTTGGGAGGCACAGGTGGGCTAATCACTTGAGCCCAGGAGTTCAAGACCAGCCTGGGCAACATAGTGAAACCCCGTCTCTACAAAAAATACAAAAATTAGCTGGGTGTGGTGGCATGGGCCTCTAGTCCCAGCTACTTGGGAGGCTGAGGCAGGAGAACTGCTTGAGTCCAGGAGGCAGAGGTTGCAGTGAGCCAAGATCGCCCCACTGCACTGCAGCCTGGGCGACAGGAGTAAAACCTTGTCTCAAAAAAATTTAAGAATTAAAAAACTTTTCAAAATTCCTGAGAGGGAAATATATTGGATGAAAGTAGTTGTTCATTTTAGACAAAAACTAGATTTGTTTTTGTCAAAAAACAATTAAAAAAATTTGTTTGTTTTTAATTAAAGATAAAATGTCAACAGAAAGAAGAAAATTATTGATGGAGCACATCTTCAAACTACAGGAGTTTTGCAACAGCATGGTTAAACTCTGCATTGATGGATATGAATATGCCTACCTGAAGGCAATAGTACTCTTCAGTCCAGGTATATAAATATTTACTTTTTATTCAAAATAAAATGTTTCACAATGTGGAGAAATAGAAGCCCTCATATGTTGCAAGTGGGGATGTAAAATGGTGCAGTTGCCTTGGAAAAGAGTTGAGTAGTTCTTCAAAAGGTTAAACATGGAGTTATCAAATGACTCAGCACCTTCACTCTTGTCAGCCCAAGAGAAATGAAAAATATATATCTATGCAAGAATGTGTATATGAATAGTCATAGCAGCATTATTCATAATAGTCAAAAAGTGGAGACAACCCAAATGTCAGTCAACAGATGAACAAATAAATGTAATATATACATAAAATGGAATATCGTTCAGCCATAAAAGGAAGGAAATTCTAACACATACTACAACACAGATGAACCTTTAAAATGTTCTGCTAAATGAAAGAAGCCAGTCATATTGTTTGATTTCATTTATATAAAATATGCAAAACAGGCAAACCTGTATAGACATAAAACAATTAAGTGGTTGCCAGGGACTAAGGAGAAGGAAGAAATGGGAAGTGACTGCTAATGGGTGGAGTTTTTTTTTGGAGTGACAAAAATGTTCCAAAATTAGATTGTGATGATGGTTGTACAACTCTGAATATAATAAAAACTATTGAACTGTATACTTACTTTTTTAGACTGAGTCTCGCTCTGTTGCCCAGGCTGGAGTGCAGTGGTGCGATCCCGGTTCGCTGCAACCTCTGCCTCCTGTGTTCAAACAATTCTCCTGCCTCAGCCTCCCCAGTAGCTGGGATTACAGGCATGCACCATCACTCCCAGCTCATTTTTGTATTTTTAGTAGAGACGAGTTTCACTACGTTGGCCATGCTGGTGTTGAACTCCTGACCTAAGGTGATCTGCCCACCTCGGCCTCCCAAAGTGCCGGGATTACAAGAGTGAGCCACCGCACCCAGCCTGAATTGTATACTTGAAATTGGTGAATTTTAAGGATGTTAGATATTTATATGGGTATGAAAAGGGAGGTTGAGAAGTCAGTGAAATAATATAATAGACTTTGGCAGGGCTCAGTAGCTCATGCCTGTGATCCTCATATTTTGGGAGGCTGAGATGGGAGGACTGGTCAGGAGTTTGAGACCAGCCTGGGCAACATAATGAGACCTCTTCTCTGCAAAAATCAAAATAGAAAAAATTAGCTGGATGTGCTGGTGCGCACCTGTAGTCTCAGCTACTTGGGAGGCTCAGGTTGGAGGATCACTTCAGCCTGAGAGTTTGAGGCTGCAGTGAGCTCTAATCACGCCACTGCATTCTAGCCTGGGTGACAGAGGGAGACCCTGTCTTAAAAATAAATGAAAATGTAAAAAATATTATAGACCTTTATTTCTTTTGTCACATCAGCATTTGAATTCTTATGTGTATTTTTTTAGCCATTACTAAATGGCAGAATGAGAGATGACTTGCTATGTTGATGGGCTAGATTTCCAAACATCTTATATGACTTACCAACAAATAAAAAAACTGGTTTCTTGTTTTCCTGCCAGTTTACGGTTTTCACAGATGGTAAAATGATGGTAAGCTCTCAGTGATCAATTTCTGAATAAGAGAAATTGACTGTTCTCTTAGGTTCTGTATTTTTCATTCTGATATATGTTTCTGTTCTTGTGTATCATAATAAAATTATCTGAGGAAACCTGTTTCTTTCTGTCAGTGATACCAGTAAGAACATGAAAGCTTGTACTATTTCTTCTGATGTTTCTTATGGGTTAGTAACGTATGTCTCTATTCTTAGCACAATTTGTCACTTTCATTTTCCTTAGGTGAAAATTGAAAGAACATAGATTTGAACTTTAAATTCTAATGTAATTTTATTTTACTATTTTTAGGATTTTCCATTTATTACTTTTTTAAAATTTTCATCCATGAGAACAGAGCTTTCCATATTCAACATTTCTTAAGCTATGCATAATTTTTATGAAGTTCTTTTAGTATTTCTGTTTTTGTGTAATGTTATAGTGACCATTGAAATGCTTATATAGATTTTTTCATATTTCTGTTATTTTTCTGATAGAGATGATATTTATGGTTTCATAATTTCTTACATACCTTTTTACCTAAAAATAATAGAATTTTTGACTTATAAAAATAGGGCACAGAATATAATCTGCAAATATTTCATGGATTTAAAATGCCTTTTTTTTTTTTTTTTTTGAGACAGAGTCTCGCTCTGTTGCCCAGGCTGGAGTACAGTGGCATGGTCTCGGCCCATCGCAACCTCTGCCTGCCTCCCAGTTTCAAGCGATTCTCCTGCCTCAGCCTCCCAATTAGCTGGGATTACAGGTGCCTACCACCACACCCGGCTAATTTTTTGTATTTTTAGTAGAGACGGGGTTTCACACCATGTTGGCCAGGCTGGTCTTGAACTCCTGACCTTGTGAGCCACCACACCCAGCCTTAAAATGTCTTTTTAAGCTGAGTCATTTACCTTTTGCTCCTGTTAAAGGCAAAGTTATCAAATGCCTTCCTACTACTTTTGGAATGGTGAGAAAGCTGTTTATAGTTGTTAGCATACGTACATGAGATAAAAAATTTTAAATATGTAAAATATAGTGCTTGGTATATAGTAGGTGGACTCAATCAATATTTGTGGAATGAATGAGCCACACTTTTTTTTTTTTTTTTTTAAGACAGAATTTTGCTCTTGTTGCCCAGGCTGGAGTGCAATGGCGCTGTCTCGGCTCACCGCAACCTCTGCCTCCCAGGTTTAAGCAATTCTCCTGCCTCAGCCTGCCGAGTAGCTGGGATTATAGGCATGCGCCACCATGCCTGGCTAATTTTGTATTTTTAGTAGAGACAGGGTTTCTCCATGTTGGTCTCGAGCTCCCGACCTCAGGTGATCTGCCCACCTCAGCCTCCCAAAGTGCTGAGATTACAAATATGAGCCACTTCGCCCGGCCTGAGCCACACATTTTATGATGGGGCTTCTGTTTTGACTATTCTGTCTCTTCATTTTCACTCTGTCTTAAATGAACATTCAGAACTAGGGTACCAATGTTTTCTTTAATGTTTCAGATCATCCAGGCCTAGAAAACATGGAACAGATAGAGAAATTTCAGGAAAAGGCTTATGTGGAATTCCAAGATTATATAACCAAAACATATCCAGATGACACCTACAGGTATCTACAGTTAAATTCCATATAATTAAAATAATTGAAAAACCTTTTGTGGATCTGTTATCTCATTGTTTCTACTCTCAGAATAAGTAAATGTTTTAGGCAACCTTAACTTTGAAATAGTAATGCTATAAAAAGCAGTATTGCATTGTTGCAAGTACGTTACATAAAATATTTCATCCAGTTCTTACATTTTTATGTAAGAGGAGACTTCAGCACAGAGAGGTTAGCTTTGCTCAGGGTCACACAGTAAATGATAGCACCTGACTGTGAACCCAGGTAGTCTGACTCTAAAGTCCAAACTCTTTTTCTTTGGATAAAATAATGAATTTTGTTAGTAAAAGGAGGATAAAAAATAATCAGAGACCAGCCTGGACAACATGGTAAAACCCTGTTTCTACAAAAAATACAAAAATTAGCCCAGCATGGTGGCGCATGCCTGTAGTCCCAGCTATTCAGGAAGCTGAGGTGAGACTGCAATGAGCTATGATTACATCGCTACACTCCAGTCTGGGTGACAGAGCAAGACCCTGTCTAAAAAATAATAATTTAAAAATTTTTAAAAATCAAATACCATTAGATTAGATTGTTTTATAATTAATTTTGAAACATGGTTTATGAAATTCCCTCCAAGCTATTTCTCGCCAGTGTTCTTTGAGAAAAATTCTTTTTTTATGAGAGCCACTTTCTTTAAAGAGGGACATTATAGCCGAGGGGTTAAGCACCTGGTTATAGAGCCAGAGTACCTGGATTTGAATCCTGACTCTGGCTCTTGCTAGCTTCATAACCTTGGGCATGTTTCCTCCTATAATGGAGATAATAATGGTATCTACTTTTTACAATTATTTTAAGGATTAAATCAGTTAATATATGTAAAGTGCTTAGGACTGTGCCTATCACATAGTAAGGGCTATATAAGTGTGTTTGTTTATAATAAATAAAACATTTTGTTAATTTAGCATACTTCAAACTAGCAAAATAACATTTTTACATATAATTTTTTACATATATTAAATAATTTAGATTTATAAGCCAGTCTCATCTCAAATATCAGCCTTATTTTATCTAACTCATTTTCCTATCCCGCTTTCTACCAGTTCTGTAAAAGCTGAATAATTTGATGTGGATGCTGAGTAATTTGAGGAGTAGAGCACACAGCTTCAGGAAGATAATCCTGGGGGCTGCTGTTCTCATTTGGTCTGAAGTGTTAGAGTACAAGGCCTTAGGACAGAAGGATAAACCCACCACAGTCTTTTTGGAAAGGTTTTGTTGTGGTGGTTTTTCAGCATTATCTTTAAGTTTTAAAAGTTACTGTATGCCTCATTATACAAATAAATACAGTATTTAAATTTTTTTCCTTTGTGACTGCAACTTTCTCAGTTTTTTACATTCTTGATTACTTAAAAATAATACATTATCCTTGGATAATAGTTTTCAACTTATAAGGCACTTTCATACAAGATAGGGTCCTGCCCTAAGGAACCTCACTACTTGGCACAGAAACTGGCAGGGATCATTTCATTCATCCTTACAACAGCACTGTGGGAGACAGTAAGTGGCAAGCACACATTTATATAGGTAGTGGGCAGTTCAATCAAGATTTGAACCCAACGGTCTTGATTCCACATTCCGTGCTCTTCCCAGTAATAGCGACTGTTGCCTATTTACAGTAGTTTTTTGCAGAGCAAAACCAAGAAAATGCCTTATGTCCTGATAACACAAAACATTGCCATTTTTAAAACCTGAAATGAGTTGCTAAGCCATTCTTTTTCTTTCTTTTTTTTTTTTTTTTTTTTTTGAAGCAGAATATTGCCCTGTCACCCAGGCTGGAGTGCAGTGGTATGATCTCGGCTCACTGCAACCTCCGCCTCCTAGGTTCAGGCAATTCTTGTGATTCTGTTGCCTCAGCCTCCCAAGTGGCTGGGGTTATAGGCATGTGCTACCGTGCCCGGCTAATTATTTTTTGCATTTTTAATAGAGACAAGGTTTCACCATGTTGGCCAGGCTGGTCTCGAACTCCTCACCTCAAGTGATCTGCCCACCTCGGCCTCCAAGAGTGCTGAGATTACAGGCATGAGCCACTGGCACCCAGCCGCCATTCTTAAACGTATAACTTGGCCCAGCACAATGGCTCACACCTATAATCTCAGTACTTTGGGAAGCCAAGGCAGGAGGATTGCTTGAGCCAGGAGTGTGAGACCAGCCTGGGCAACATAGTGAGACCCTGTCTCTACAAAAAATAAACACAATTAGCCAGGTATACTGGCACACTCCTGTAGCCACAGCTACTTGGGAGGCTGAGGCAGGAAGGATCACTTGAGTACAGGGAATTGAGGCTGCAGTGAGATCACACCACTGCACTCCACTTTGGGCAGCAGAACAAGGCCCTCTCTCAAAAAAAAAAAAAAAAAAAGTATAACTTGATGCGTTTAACAGCTCAGTTCCATAGTCCTTACAGCCAAGGGGAGGCAGTACAGTGTAGCATTAAGAGCAGCGCTTTCCCCTGTGGAGTCTGTGAGACTGCATTAATACCCAGGTAACTGCCGTATGCTCTAAGGCTTGAGAATACTAAAGTTTTGAATTTAACTTTTGAAAATGATATATTTATTAAATTAGGCCACATGCAGAAATTACTCATACTTTTCTACTAAATTTCTTTCTGGTTTACAACCTTGTTCCTCTCCCTTTTTTCTTTCTTGTTTTAGGTTATCCAGATTGCTACTCAGATTGCCAGCTTTAAGACTGATGAATGCTACCATCACTGAAGAATTGTTTTTCAAAGGTCTCATTGGCAACATACGAATTGACAGTGTCATCCCACATATTTTGAAAATGGAGCCTGCAGATTATAATTCTCAAATAATTGGTCACAGCATTTGAAAGCTGCAACTGCAGTGCTGTAAACTTAATTGTTCTTTGCCAGAACACAAGACACCAAATTGAGCTCATTGCTTTTGGGGCATCTGGAAATTTTTACTTCAAAAAGTAACCAGAATCCAGGGTATTTTTATTTTAGCTTCCTTAAGAATTTTTGAAGTGACTGGGCCAACAGCAGAAATTAAATGAATTTTTCTTCCTGATTCCTTTAAATGAACATGAAACACTACAAATTTATTCTTGGTGAAGATGATACCTGAAGCTGTCACCTCTTGATTATCTAAACTAAGCTCTCATTCTATTTTATAAAACAAATAAATTAGTCTCTTTTTTCTGAATTGTGTTCTAGTCATATTTAACTTCATTAAGAACTAGGAAAAATACTTAATGGTCAGAAATCCCTAAGGAGGAGTTAGTTCCTTGCATTTTACTCTGCCATAATAATTTTTGTTTGTTTTAATTACCATATCAAAATAAGATCATTTTATGCTTACTGGTATAATGACAATATTAGAATTATAGGAAATAATTGAATATATATTTTTTGTCTTCTGTAAATATCATGGTGTCCCTTAGCGTATGTATACCACTCTCATTGCTGGCAGTGAGACAGGCATTCATGATCTTAAGATTGACATTTTTAATGTATATATTAGTTACAAGCACTTTATATAGCAGAAAATTGTTTTTGAGAATAAGCTAGTATTGATATTTTAATATTTTTAGCTTACTGCTCGTGTTTTTGTTTTTGTCTTCATTTATAGAGGTGGGTTTCACTATGTTGCCCAGTCTGGTCTCAAACTCCTGGGCTCAAGTGATCCTGCCTCAGCCTCCCAAAGTACTGGGATTACAGGCACGTGCCACTGTGCCTGGCCTACTGCTATCTTTGAAAGTAATAGAGACTAGCCAGCTGTGGTGGCTCATGCCTATAATCCCAGCACTTTGGGAGGCTGAGGCAGGCAGATTGCTTGAGCTCAGGAGTTCGAGACCAGCCTGGGCAACATAGCAAGACCCCGTGTCTGTAAAAAGAAAGAAAGTAATAGAGACTAATTGAGCCTAAAATGTTTCACTATTTCAAAAAAGATATTAAAATTGTTGCTCTTTCATTCCATAAAAAGAATCTGATCTCTCTTCTACTTTTCTGACCTGAGTTAGAGCTTCCCAACCCTGTCATGTATGAGTTTTAGCCTGTTTCTTTTAGGTCACTAAAACAACTCACCCAATTTGTCAAATAATGGATTTATCATAGCCAATACATGTTCTCAAGGCAAGTTTAAACATTATTTTGAAGCTAATGATACTTTTTTAAAATAAATATTCACTGATTTTTTTCACTGTAAAGCACGGGAGGGCTGCTTTAACAGCAGTGTAAGAATCAGCCTGAAGCCTTGTTACTGCTGCAACAAATGCATTTTAGACTCCTCGGATGTCTTCCACAGTAATTTATTTTTTTTAGCAAACCTGATACTGATAACTGTTTCTTTGCTTTGATTTCTTGATGAATTATTTTGGTATGTTTGTTGCTTTTTAAAACAAACATGGATAATGCACTCAGAGTACATTTTTTGTAAAGATTTTTGCAATAGAAGAAAAGCTGAAGTTTTTGTGGGGATGTGGATTTTATTGCTTACTACTTTTTTCCCTATTTAAAACATGATCTTAGTCAACAATTTTATTTATAATTATCAGCTAAAGAAACTACATTTAGTATAATACTCAAATGGGAAAATCAGTAGTTTATACCTTTATAAATACAATGTAGTAAGCCAAGGAATCAGGGAACTAATCCTTTAAAATAATGTACTAATGGTTAATTAAGATGTTTCAGGTGTTTTTTCTGATTAAATTTGTTATTTGGAAGAGTTTTTAAAACTATATTAAAATGTGACTTGCATTACAAATTTCTGTGTCTTACCAATATATTTGTAAATATATTCATTTTCCTATTCAATGATTGCTTATCCTTCGTTTGTTCCATTGTGGTTTCATCTACAGCAAGTATAGATCTGCTATATTAAGAAAGCTCTAATAAGAATCGTTACTGATATAATAGGTGTTTTGGTTCTCAGGTGGGGTGATTTTAATTAAAGTACTTCCAGCAAGAGAAAAACATGGAGACATTTCTGTGTCCTATATTTTAGGGTTATTTGCAATTCAATTTGAAGGCTCCCAGCTAAATACTGCAGATTAGCTTTTGTTTTCTTTCCTGAAATCTCAGTCCATAAAGTATAACTACGCGATGACAAATGGAACAGGAGAGAAGAAATCAAAGGACAGAGTAAAGTAAATTTTTGGAAAACAAAATGCAGATAAAGAATGACTGATTTAGTAGAACCAGAACTAAAGAAGCTTTAACTGAGTGACTACAAAAGGCAATGCAATGAGAAAGAAGCCAGGATACCAGACAAGATGCTTAGTACCTTGAAGGAACCAGTGCTCAGATACAGGAATGATGCTTGAGACATAAAAAAAAAATAGATTGGTTGCAAGTCTGGATACAGTTCCCCAACCCTACTGAAGATGGGTGGAGGCCAGGCGTGGTGGCTCATGCCTATAGTCCCAGCACTGTGGGAGGCTGAGCAAGGCAGATTGCTTGAGTCCAGGAGTTCGAGACTACCGGGGGTAATGTAGTGAAACCTCATCTCTACAAAAAAAAAAAAAAAAAAAAAAAAAAAAGGCCGGGCATGGTAGTGTGCACCTGTAGTCCCAACTACTTGGGAAGCTGAGGTGGGAGTAGAGCTTGAGCCCAGGAGATCGGGGTTGCAGTGAGCTAAAATCTTGCCTCTGCACTCTATTGTGGGCAACAGAGCCAGGCCCTATCTCAAAAAAAAAAAAAAAAAATCAGGTGGCCACTTTCTGTCCTCCCTTTTCAAGCAGGAGGAGGCCAGAGATTAATTCTTTGGAGAAACTGAACTGGAAGAGCATAGGACTTACAGGATACCAGGGATAACAGAAGGTGTGAATAAGATACAGGGTTGAAAATATGGAGGAAGTGAAAATCCAAATTTGGAGGCCAGGATTACAGTGCCTGTAATCCCAGCACTTTGGGAAGCCAAGGTAGGTGGATCACGAGGTCACAAGTTCGAGACCCGCCTGACCAACATGGTGAAACCCCCGTCTCTACTGAAAATACAAAAACTAGCTGGGCATGGTGGCACACGCCTGTAATTCCAGCTAACTAAGGAGGCTGAGGCAGGAGAATTGCTTGAACCCGGGAGGCGGAGGTTGCAGTGAGCTGAGATTGCGTCACTGCAGTCCAGCCTGGGAAACAACAGAGCGAGACTCTGTCTCAAAAAAAAAAAAAAAAAGTCTGCATTTGGTTGGTATGTAGGCGCCCTATCCTTTTCCCAGGATACTGGCAATCAAGTACAGTTTTCTCTGCCAGGTTTTTTTTCTTTGGAGAAGCTAAATGGCCCCAGAGAAAAGATCTCCATTTTGGTTATCCCTTAATGATAAAAAATAATAATAAAGCCTGTTTGCCACCTTATCACTCTTCAATGAAGCCCTCCAATTACCAAGTCGTGTGTATGTATTCGGTTTCCATTCAGCTCTTTAGTGCCCTATTATTAAATGTGAACTTACAGCCCAGGATAGCCAGATATTTGAGGAAAATCTCTATCCATGAGAGACCAGATATGAGGGGTAGGGAGCAGATACAAAATGCAAAGATCAGAAAAATATTCCCCAAATATAATTAATATCTTGAGAGAAACTAGATGTTGTATCCATAAAAGGAGAACAGAATGTTTCCCAAAACAAATTTGAAGCAAGGAATTGCCCCTAGAAATTAAAAATGACAGTCAAGGCAATTCATTAGAAGGACTGGTAGATAAAATTGAGGAATTCACCCAGAAAGTAAAACCAAAAGACAAAGGAATAGGAAACAGGATAGAAATGATAAAATTAGAGAATCAAACAAGATCTTTTATTTATTTTTTTTTTTTTGACGGGGGAAGGGGGAGAGTTGAGTCTCACTTTGTTGCCCAGGCTGGAGTGCAGTTGTGCGATCTCGGCTCACTGCAACCTCCACCTCCCAGGTTCAAGCAATTCTGCCTCAGCTCACCAGTAGCTGGGATTACAGGCACATGCCACCACACCCAGCTAATTTCTTTTTGTTTTTAGTAGAGACAGGATTTCACCATGTTGGCCAGGCTGGTCTCGAACTCCTGACCTCAAATGATCTGCCCACCTCAGCCTCCCAAAATGCTGGGATTATAGGCGTGAGCCACCGTGCCCAGCCAAGGTCTAACATTTTCAATACTAAGTTTAAGAAAAGGAAAATAGAAAAGAAAAGGAAATTATTAAATAATATAAGAAAAGTTCCACAAAAGGACACTTGTCTGTAGGTGGAAATGATCCATCATTATAAATTTTAAAAGATATACCATCTTGAAATCACAATATAGTCAAAGAAGACAACTGCTACTTTTAGCAGTATAAAGGAATAGATTCTCTGAAGGCCTCTGCTCTATTAGCTGAGTTCACCAAATTGAGATGACTTCCTAAAGAAGGCTAAGGTTGTTTCCGGTCAGTAGTACCCTCTGCGTCCTGGCAGAAGCAAGTGTAAATCTTCTCTGGAGAAAATATTCACAATTGAGATCAGAAGTTTGAGAAAGGAAATATTTTTGGCTTCACAGGCCATGCAATGTCTGTTAAAACGACTCAAAAAGTGCTAAAGTAACTATAGACAACATAGATGAGTGGGCATACCTGTGGTCCACTAAAACATACAAAAACAGGCAGTGGACTGGATTTGGCTCTTGGAGTATGGTTTACCAACCCTTAATTTAAAAAATCTTGATATTCTCGCAGATTAGGCTCAACCAAATATGAGTACACAAAATTATCAAACTCACAAGGAAATAAGCAATACATAAAGACCCTCAGACAATATTAGATCTTAAAATGGTCACATGCAGAATGTAACTATATAATATGTTTTAAGGAGAAAAAAATGGAATCTAAAAGTAAACAAGAAACAGGAGCAGCAAAAATAACCAAGTAGATTTGAAAAGCCAAGAAACATTTAGAAAAAAAGCCAAGAAACATTTAGAAAAAACTTACTGAAATTAAAAAATTAATGCATGGTGAAAGATGCCTTGAATGCATACATTTAACCCTAAGTTCCTTCTAAAACTGCATTAAAACAGCTAAAGGTTTGTGGGTTATATATATATATTTTTTTTAGACACGAAGTCTCACTATGTTGGCCAGGGTAGAACTCCTGGGCTCAAGCTATGCTCCCACCTCAGCCTCCTGATTAGCTGGGACTACAGGTGTGAACTGCCACACCTGGTTTGCTTTATGGTTTTTGTTTGTTTTTTAATGCATCTTACAAAGACAAAAAAATGGGACAGAAATAAATGATAACCACAACTTTTTGAAAGCTAAAAATAGATTAGTAGTGATGATCCTAGCAAACCTGAGAAGGACTTTTTATCCTGCAGTGTGGAAAGCTGCAAGCAATCTGATTTGTACCACAGATCCTCCAAAATGCTCTGGTACTGTGACATCTCTGGAAGGAAAGATGAAGGATTTGTTGAAAGTCTATTTTGGAAGCAAATACACACCCACCAGACTAATAAAATTTTAGTCTGGCAAAACCAAATGTAGAGTATGTGGAGTGAAAATATGTGTGTTGATGGTGGGAGTGTTGATACAATAAATTCGGGAAAGATTTTGCATTAAATAGTAGAGTTGAACATGCATGAAATTATCTTAGAGAAACTCACACGTGTACCAGAGGACATACAAAAAATTCATGTCAGCATTGTAAGAGCAAAAAAGGAAAACTATTCAAATATCCATTGACAGGAGAATGGGTAAATTAATTGTGGTATAATCACCCAATGGAATACTATGCAACACTAAAAAAGGAATAAACTGTAAACATGGGTGAATCCCCAAAATACAATGTTGTATTTTTTTAAAAAGCCCAGAAGTATACAAAACCATAATTTAACTGGTTTACTGAAAACAGGCAAATATACTGTTGAGAGGTATTTATGTAGGAAAGCTAATTTTGTGAAAGCAAAGGAAATATTAATATTAAATTAGAATACTAGTTACTTCTGAAGGGGTAGGAAGAGGATACAAACAAAGAATATAAGGGGCTTGAAAAGTATTGACAGAGTTCTAACTATTTGCTTTTAAACAAGCCACCCCAAAATGTAATGGTTTAAAACAACATGTATTGTGTTCCTGAACATGCAACATGGACAGAGCTTGGAAGAGACAGCCTGTCTCTGCTTCTTTCAGCCACAGCTCAAATAGTGAGGTTGAAATCTATGTAGTCATTCACTCACATGTCTAGAAATTGTTAGTGACTATTTACTGGGACTTCAGGTGGAGCTGAAGCCAGAACACATACCTAGTCTTGTTTCCCTTCCTCACAACCTAGAGGCTAGGTTCCAAGAACAAGGGTTGAGAAGGCCACGTGGGAGCTCTGTTACCATTTCTTGCCTGGCATTAGAATTCATCCAGTGTCAGGCCGGGCACGGGGGCTCACACCTGTAATTCCAGCACTTTGGCCAAGGCGGGCAGATTGCCTGAGCTCAAGAGTTCAAGATCAGACTGGGCAACATGGCAAAATCCCATCTCTACAAAAAATAAAAAATAAAAAAAAACCCAGGCCTGGTGGCACATGCCTGCGGTCCCAGCTACTTGGGAGGCTGAGGTGGGAGGATCACTTCAGCCTCGGAAGCGGAGGTTCTGTAAGCCAAGATTGCGCCACTACACTCCAGCCTGGGTGTCAGAGCGAGACTCTGTCTCAAAAAAAAAAAAAAGAACAGGCCGGGCGCGGTGGCTCAAGTCTGTAATCCCAGCACTTTGGGAGGCCGAGACGGGCGGATCACGAGGTCAGGAGATCGAGACCATCCTGGCTAACAGGGTGAAACCCCGT